GGTTGGTGCTCTGTGCGAGGAAAGTACGGGCCCTATTGCGCTCGACAGGGTTCGCGTGCGAGCAGTTGGAGAGATGTTTGACTAGAGCGTTCTCGCGGCCTTCGATGAGATTGGTAGTGTCCGGGCACCAGTTGCAAGTCCACAGCCAGCGACGGGAGGCATTCTGAACTTGCCGAACTTTCGTGAAGTTGTCGTCGTGGATTTCCTTCACCTTGCGACCACCAGTACTCTTTGCTGAAGCCATGGCTGAAGAGACGAAGGGGCAAGACTATTTTATTCTAGGAACTGAATGCTACATAGGCTTTCCCGACGAGTCGGGCGGCGATCGGCCCCTCGTCGGCGGCGCGTCTTGGCCAATCGCGCCCTTCCCAATTCGGCCGATTTGCCACCAATTGCCGTCACGCCCACGATCTCGCCGCATTTGCCACGGTATTGCCATGGCGCACTGGCAAAACGGTGCAGTTTCGCCAACAACACTACGTGGTGGTCAAGAAAGCGCCTGCGGCAGTTGTGCACGCGGCACGGCTCCGGACCGACTTCCGCGAACGATGAACAATTTGACTGGCGTCTATCGATCTCGCGTGTTAAGTCTTGTAGGGTTTATGTATGTATGCTACAGTTACTGTACCCTAACTGAGGAAGAGGAGAATAATAGGTCCGGCTCAAAATCCGGAGAATATGTCAAGCTGCATTTTCCCGACTTCGAATCTTCTACAGTTTAGCCACGACGGCCACCTCTTCGATAGCCATCCTCTTCCCCCGGTGCAAGATCGGGCGAATGCTCTCCTCGTATACCTTTCGCGCATGAGCCTCGTCGATATTCATATCATCCGTCTCCACCCGGTCTATCAAACGTGCGTAGGCTCGACCGTCAGCAACACCGAGCGTGCTGTCAATCGTTCGTTCATTCAGCACTGTGAGATCGGTTACAAAGAGAGCAGAACGCTTACCTATCTAGTTCCCAGTCTTGAAATGCAAATGCGTCGACAAGTATGACGGCATGGGGTAGCACATCCACACATGTCGTCCCCAGAGCGCGCCTCAACGACTGCGCGGCCGCTTCACCCTGCAACAAGCCGAACTGATACGAGTCGCCCAAGCAGCCCTCAACTTCGGCTTGTAGGAACTGAATGGCACGACATCAGAACATCTCAAACCCGTAGCAAGCCGAACGGTAACTTACAAGAACATATAAGTTTGCAATGGCAGTCTGTTCGCTCGCATCAAGCCCGCTCGCGCCGAGAGCATCGATCATGCCAACGACTTGAGCGCCTACGAAAGCGGCTGCAACAGCATTGCTGACACGCGCGGCCACACCAGGATCATCAGCGTCTTCGCCGCCACTCGCGCGCGCCTCGACAACCCGTGCAGCGCGCATCTCAAGGAGCATCGCCATTCTCCGGGGGTCTGCCCAATCCCTATCCTTCGTGAAGGTTGGGGGCGCAGTCTTGAGCAGGCGAAGATACGCCGACGAGGGCGGGAGTGGTGAATTGGTATGGGTCCGTGCATACGTATACGCTTTAACTGCCGCGCGTACGACCTGGTGGTCGAGTACAAAGTTGTCGCCTTCGAATGTCACGGCTGGGAGGTATTGCGCGTAGATGCGGCCAACACCGCCAGCCGCCGAGAAGCCGTGCCCGCCCATGCTTCGGCGCGCTACCTGGGGAAAGATACGTCTGCGACTGTTCCAAGTTCTGATACTGGAAGTGATATGTACCTCTATGTCTCGCACGCCTGTGCTGGTGGCATACACTTTGAGCGCACTGGTGAGCGCGTGCATCTCTCCCAGAGCGGACGTGTCTCCGTTGGCGAGTGACTGTGAAAAACTCTGGAACGTTGCGATCTGAAGAGTTTGCAAGTCAGTACTTGATCGCTGCAACCCTCGTACAACGCGAGCAAAACCCACCATGGAGCGTCCGAGACCTATCAGAACATACGCACGAGCCAGAACAGGCAGTAAACGGGCGTATGTCGACGGGTATCTCAGAACCGGCATCTCGAGCATCGGGGCACCCGGAACTGCTGCCGATGGGTCGATAGACGTCGGGTCCGGCGCACCCTGCCGTCGTATCGTAGTGTACCGGATCGCGATAGTGATCGCTGTAGGTGATTTCATCAGTACACTTGGTCGTTAGCGAAGACAAGAATCATACCTTTGGCCAATGTCCAACCTGCTTGTGCTGTGAAACCCGCACGGAGGTACATCATCCCGCCGTATGCTATCTTTGCATGCGGAGGGCGGACGTACTCGCCTGTTCTAGTGACCTATAACGTCACGTCAGCTCTAGATCTCTCTTCTGTGGTATGCACTGGACGAACCTGCGCAAATCGGCTAAGCATCCACGTCCGTGGTACTCGCACCCGGTTGAAGCTGGCGTATCCATTGTCCGTCGCGCGCCATGCGCTGTGCACTTTTGGCCCGATATCACCGACTGAGACACCGGGTAACGGTACATGCGTAGCTATAGCAAGAGGGTGATGATCAGAGGCCGTCCAAAGCGCTGAAGAATGGACCAAGCGCTCACCTAGATCTCGCAACTGCACGAAGAAGAGATGCGGCCCGTGGTTCTTTCCCTTGAGAATCAGTTGCGCTTGCAATACACCATGCGTCGCCGTGTGTCCAAGGGCGCCGATCCACCACTTGCGTGCCCCAAGCGTGGGTGTATGCAACTCAAATTCCTACAACGCAACGATCAGATCAACCGTATACGCGAATTACAAAGATGCAGCACACGCACATCAGTCTCAGGCAGATACGTAGCGGTCGTCTGCAGTCCGTCCACGTTGCTTCCGTGTGCAAGTTCGGTTTGGAGGTAGCAGCCGATGATACCACGGGTACGTGCGAGCGTTCCGAACTGCTCGAGAAGTTCGGGCGAGGCCTGTGCGAGAAAAACGGGGACGAAGGCTGGGGAATCAGAATTCGGTCAGTACGCGGGGTAAGAGAAGATGATAACGGGGAACGGTGGGAAGTGATAACGTACCGGAATGGTGCAGCGTCATGCCAGTTCCTTCGCCCAACATGCCCATTGCAGCTTCAACATCCTGCTCCGTCCAGCCATCATTTTCCTGTATAGTTTGGCATGAGCTGGGTAGCATTCGGAGGCATAATCGCGGATCTCGTACCTGGAGTGCGTATAGCCTGTTCATCTGTGCCATAGACCGGGCATATACGTCTGGACGCGTTGTAGGCGCTGGTCCGGCGAAGAGCGGGTCACGCGCGAGCGTCTGCGAAATTCGACTTCGAGACTCGAGTGCTTGAGAGCTGCCTAGAGCATACTAAGAGGTCAGTTTATGACATATTGAACGATATTGCCAGTACGCGCCGTGAATATAGTGCCCCAGCGCCTGGACATCGAGCGCACTCGCCGCACGCGCGGCAGATAAGTCGCGCGCCTGTTGGTCGTTCTCGTCACGTACTGCCGTCATGAGAATTCCCAGTGTCTAGTTTTTCGATACTAGGATGGAAGCGAAGTATAAGAAGGCGGTTTGTAGGCAAGTCCGAGACTCCAGGGCGTGAGGACAGCGCCCGCTTCGGCGCGCTCATCATAGCCGAAAGAAGCAGCTGACCGCCACGATAGGGTGCTCATGATTTCCGGTATAGGCGCTCGTAGTTCTGGCCCTTCTGAGCTGTGTACAGTTCAAGGGGACCTCAATCCTCTATTTCAAGAGGCCCATGAGAGGAAGCGGCGAATGCCATCGTGGTCAAGGATAACCGGTAACCTCATGTCGGGCGCGACGCGAGCGCGGAGTTTGCCTCTGACAACCATGTCTCTTCCCAAAATGTCGAAGGGCTGTGCTCGTCCTACTTTTCGTCCATCTTCGAGCCCCGCGCATACCTCTCAAACCCGACCTCGAATTTATTATATCTGACTGACTGGTTTATTCACTGAGATACGAAGTGCGCTATTGCGAATAGCAAGCATTCAGTCGGGCGGGGACTCTTGCCCGTGTACTTCGCGCGCGTGCTACGATCTCTGGGTTTCTTTGGCCCACTGCACTGACCAGTATATTGTATGCGATTGACCAACACGTGAGCGACTCTGGCGGAGCCAAAGGACAAACTCGCGCGGCCCGTGCAAAGCCTCAACATATTAAAAAACGGGCCGCTGGGAACGAAGCCTCCTCAAATGGCCATCCTAACCATCTCGCAACACAATGGGTATCTATAAAGGCGGATGACTTCCTACACTGTGCGTATACTCGGCTCGAATATGCATTTGTGACTTTTCGGCAGGGTAGCCGCGGCACGTCTGAGCACAGAACGATGACCCCTTTCGTGATTTTCGCATGACGCATATCCGGCCTCTACTGGAGTAAGCCAACCAGAGACAAGTCTCCGCGATAGCTCTTGGAACTTGCCGGCTACGCTCAAAGACGGTATCTCTTGGATATCTGATCGCCCACCGAAGGATACTCGGTCGCACGGCTTGGAGGTCCCGCTCAGGAACTCGAGCGCGGTCTCTACCCCTCGTGTACGTGACCGTCTCTGATACTACTGCGACCCTTAGACTTCTAGCTCGAGCGACTTCTGCTCTACAACATGAGTACTCCGCCAGGTACGTCGATGAAACTCAGATTACCGCTTGCGCAGACTGTGGACTGAAGTCCGTGTCTGCTCGGCGAAAGGTCATCGGCGGGTCTGAGAAGTGAAGCGTTGATGAAGCGTTCAGATCCAGAGCATCTCATACTTACGTCGATGCTTAAAATGGTATGGTCCGTATAGCACGACGATCTCTTTCTTTCGAGTACATAGCCGGTCTAGGACGGCGATATCGCAGTTGAGCTATATGCCATGCAGAGTCGTCGGCAGCGATGCGTATCTCATTTGGCCGCGACCAATGATCTCACGTCCGTCGCTCTCCGAGCCATCTTCTTGTCTGAGGATACAACTGATACACTGAGCAGCGTGCTCTCAATGTCCTCGAGCGTCTATCCCTGTGATTACCGTTTGTATGGCGGATATCCCCGTTCCAATCAACATCGCCCAATCCGGATCTCCAGCCACACGCCACGAAGACTCACGGTGTTCACTCGGTGTTCTCGAAGTGCACTCTGATGGTCCCGCCGCCTTAGAGCCTAAACCCTCTCCGTCTCGAACAGAAAGTTACAGAATAGGCATCCTGGAAGCGTCCACGGAGAAACGAGCTTGCGCCCAGCGTAAGGTAATCAGAATCTCCCTCGTCTTTCTTACCGGCAGCACGTCCCCCGATAGTTCTTGGTACCCAAAGCCATGACGGTCTAGCGGCTCACGGCGAGTTTGTCCGTCCGCCGGCTTTGCCGAGCTCGCCGATCGAGTCGCTCATGGCAACGCAGCGTACGGCTACGCGCCCGCAGCAGATCATCGCGAAGACTTTAGGGATGTTCCACACAGCGACCCGAACGCAGCAGAACGCAGCAGCAAACCTCGCGTGGACTTCATTCTCCATAATTGCGGAAATGTGTCGTTGACGAGTATGAAGGCGACTTGGCCTCGGGTAAAGAACTTCCGGTTGTGTGGCCGAGAAGAAGAAGGGTTGCGAGAGGTACGTGGATGGGAAGTGATGGTGTTACGGCCGCGGCATGGGCCGTGTGGCACGGGGGTTACTAGTGAGATATCGATATTGAGAGAAGCACAGAGCGGAGCGTGTACGCAATGCGGGGGGGTGCGTTGACCCGGAAAAGATGCGTGTGTACTGTAAAAGAGCTGAACGATACAAATGGGGTAGGAGGCAGGGTAAACTGTACGCATGCGGGAGAAGAGGGGACGTGGGAGATACAGTCGTAGTTGTAGTTGTAGAGAACGAAAGGGACCAAGTGCTGCACGGCAGTAGAGTGAAGATGAGGTGAAATAAGACACGGCGGGCCACAGGACGAGGAGAAGGATATGTTAGCAAAAGCAAGGTTTAGAGTCCGGCCCAATAGGCGGTGCGAAGCTGTTGAACGTGTGCACGACGAGCATGCTCGCCGCGCGGACCAGAGATCACAGTAACGAGGCATCGTGTGTCTCGAATGTTGGCTCCGATGGACTATAGGCACCACGAAGCTCGTGGTCTACGTAAGCGAGACTGATTATACTGTGAACTGTTAGCTATAACACCCGCAGTGGTGCTGATCAGACTCTCCAGAAGCCAAAAGGCTTTGGATATCAGCATGTTCCATCGCTCGCATAGTTTCGAACCGTTCACAGATACCCAGAACGGCACGCAGTGATCAGACCGGGCTCTATCTGAGGCCAATCGAGGGCCGCCGTGACTTTGCCCGTCAGAAAGGGAACGAGAGATGTAGTTGGCGAAGCAACTGGTAAGCGAGCGCAACGTGAACATTCCAATTTCCACTCGCACGAACTTTGCCGAGCCACGCTCCGCCCAACGCCTTGAAACACAGATCGTACTTGTGCCTGTTGGAAGCGCACTACTTATATGGGCTGCCAAAGCGCGAATAGACTCAGCCGTTTCCCCACGTCAAGCTAAGGGAAATAGACGATGATGGTGGCAAGAGTCAACTCGAACCTGACGCGCACCTTGCCTCGTCCGGCCATCTCTCGGCGATGGGCGCACATACCTGCTCGCCCGTTGCACCCGTCTACGCCGCCTCCTCCGCACCTGCTTTCAGTCTTCAGTCCGCCGTTGCACCGTCTGCCTCGCTCATCTCTCGCTCCTGGTCCTGAGCTGTCGATCCCCGGGTACAAATGCTCCACACACGTCTTTCCGGCTGCATGGCCGCGCAGTACCCCGCTCGTTCCGTTCCCAGATGATCTCCGAGACGATATTCCGCGTGCGCTCGAGAGCAAGGAAGAGAGACGCGCGCGCTTGGCCCGTGGCGTTGATGCGATGCTCACCCTGAAGCGCTCGCAAGAACGTGAAGCTGGCCGTACTCTCGATCCCGACCAACGCATGCTCTGGGTCACTGCGACGCGCTGGGTACGCACCGGTCCATCACTCGGTAACGGAAACAAGACCGTTCTGTGCACCCATGGCAATGGTATGCACGCCGGTACCTTCGCACCGACACTTCGGCGCCTACTGTCACGAAGGTCGGACATTGCCGAAGCTTGGGCGCTTGACGCCGTTCATCACGGTGATGCCGGTTTGCTCAACGCTGGTAACCTCGGCGCACTCTTCGACTGGCGGGACACGGCTCGCGATGTGCTTTGCCTCCTGCAGCACTTCTTGCCTCCGACGCCGACCCTCGGGCCCTTACCTACGGTTCTCACTCGCACCTACGGCAAACCGCGCCGGGTGTTCGGGCTCGGTCATTCCTTTGGCGGCGGTGTTCTCGCGCTCGCCGCAACGCGCCACCCTGAGCTCTTCAGCGCTCTCATGCTCGCTGACCCCGTCATCGCCCCGTCCGAGCTGGACCGCACTATCCAGCGCGAGCCGGGATGGGTGGCACCCGATGGCACGCGGACGATCTCCGGATATCCATCACTGCACGGATACACCCTCGGCGCTCTGGGACGGAGATCAGTCTGGCCGTCTCAGGCCGCTGCGCTCGAGGCGCTCGCGGCGCACCCGGTCTTTAGCACATGGCACAGGGACGCGCGCGAGGTCTACGTCAAGCATGCGATGGTCGAAGGCCAGGACGGCCAAGTGCGCTTGAAATGCGAGGGCAAGCAAGAGGCGGCTGTGTATGTAGAGTCGCGCGCGGCGAATGAGGCCTGGAGTGCGCTGCCTTTCCTCGACGAGCGCGTTCCGCTACTATGGGTCAACCCACCGGCCGGCGAGAGGTATGAGTTTCTCTGCCAATAAAGTGATCGAGCTACCACTGATGTGAATCACTTTGACAGTATCGCACAGACTCGCGAGATCGCGGCCGTTCGTGTACGCTTGCGGCCTGCGAACAGCGCGCATGTTATCGTCCCGAACGGGTTGCATCTGATAGTTCAGACGAACCCTCGTCAAGTCGGTGCGTACCATCCACCCTCAACAGCATGCGCACACAACTCTAACGTATCTCTCCACAGCCGACGCGGTCAATGTCTTCATGGACGCCGTCAAAACCAACACCGTCGGCTACGCCCGCGCGTTCAGATTGCCAGAGACGGAGAGTACCGTCCTACCGCAGATCAACCACCAACGCACACCACTTCCGCGCTGGGATATGCCTCCCCCGCGCAGGGTCGGCCAGCTTCTCGCACAAGTATAGAAGCCATCCGCATGAGTACTCGAGGAACTTGTACATCTACTCACCGCGCTGGCTCGCCCATCCCGCCCTGGTTTGGCTCTTATGGAAGCACCTGTATCATATCCCGGAGATGGATGCCGTGCGCTGTTTTGTAGGCATAGAATTAGACGATTATCACATTTGTAACATGACAAAATTTGGGAGACCGGCGATGCCCCTGGCCCCATCCACCTTGACGATCGTGGTGAAGCCTGAGCGTGGTCGTGTACTCTATATACTTAGGCGGTGGCACCTGAGCTGATCTGGTATCATGCAGGTAGGATGGCCCTGCGAGGATACGCTCATACAGGCAGGATGTCGCTCAAGTCGTTCGTCGTTCGCGGAAGTCCGGGTCGTTCCGGAGCCGTGCCGCGTCCACACGTCTTGACCAGGACGACCATGATCTCTCCAAGCATTGCCCCAACCTTAATGCCACAAATATGCACATCGGACTCTGACTGAAATGGGAACTACCAAGACTTCTTTGTGGTTGCATGCGACCCGATTGGCCTTTGAGCCGAGGGTTGACCATGGGCGCCTCTTGAAAGGCGTTCACGGTCGCGTCGACCGATCGCAATTTCCCTCTTTTTGCCACCACCTCGCCAGTACGCTGACCCGAACTATAATTCACAATACACAGGGCACAACCAGAAATGTTATCCAACCGGATGTGAGTGCCCATACCCCACCTGATCCCGGACGCAAGCTGAACTATAGACATCAGGTTGAACGTGAACGACCTGCCCCTCGAGCTTCTACATGAAGTATTCGCTTGGCTTTCTACCGTTGACGTACCTGGTTTTGACGCTGCCACTGCTTCTATCAAGCTCGGCTGGGTCGTTGTCTCGCACGTCTGCAAGCGATGGCGCGACACGATCTTGAACATGGCCGTTCTGTGGGCGTCTATAGCCGGCGGCGTGTTCACCTCCCAGGAATTATGCGAGGAACTTATACGGCGTGCGCGCAACTCGCCTTTGTATCTCTGGGACTGGACGAGGGTCTCTCCCGAGGAATTTACGCGAGTGATCCTCCGCCAGACTGTATCCCGACTAGCGATTGATCACCTCGAGCGCATCGCAAAGCTAGCATTGGACGCTCGAGATCCCGCAACCGTCCATTCCATTCTGGGTCGCCCTCTTCCACAGCTACGGGAACTCTATCTGGAGGGACGCGAACCGGGAGCCCGTGACGGACAATTCCTTTGGCTCTCCGGTGCCGAGCGCACATTGATCAGCCCGCATCTTCAGACACTCGAGATGCGTCTGGTGTTCTTCCCCTTCCAGGCTCCTGCCCTGCAAGCGTTGTGTATCGATCACAACTGGGCCGGCGCAGATATCACTTACGAGCTACTGATGGATGCACTCGCGTCTTGTCCCTTGCTAGAGGACTTGGAACTATTGGACGTATTGCCCCTGGACGATGGAGTACCCTCGCGCCCTGTTCCGCTTTCACACCTCAGTACGCTCACTTACTCTGGTTCTCCTCCAGACTTCACACTGTTGTGGGACTCGCTCGCCATCCCCCCACGCGCGATGTCCACGTATCGCTCGAATTCCTGATCAGTGACGAGGCGCTCGCTGTATATGCCGAACTCTCCGACGTGCTTTCACAACACTCATCCCGACAGTGTGCCCTTAGTCTTGAATTTGACCCCGATCGTATGGACGGAGGCTTGGCCCTACATGTATACCCGCTCGCAGACCGTAAGCGCATCTTGACACGGCACGGAAAACACAGAAGCACGGGAGTATTCATGTCCCTCACTGATCTATCAGAGTTCCCCCCCTCCGGGCCAGACGAATACCCGCACGATATTGTCGCGGCATTGATCGCCGTGCTTAAAACCGATAACATCGTGCTCGTCGAAATCGACAGGTTCTTGGACTTCTGTGACGAGTTGAGCACGGGGCCGGATCTACTGGCTCGCGCACTCCGGCCGCTGACGGGCGTAAGGACGTTGGGTGTTGCTCGTAACAGTAACCTGAAGAGCGCAATTGATATGCTTCACTCGACGGTCGACGATGCCCCTATATTCCCGAAACTCTTGGCTTTGGCCGTGAAGCCTTCCCGTGAGGTATTGCTAAAGGCCGCTGTGAAGAAGCTGTGGCGCAGAGCACTGCAGGCGAGCCGTGCGTCCGGTTGACGAGGACGAATTGGCGAATCCCGTACTTGAAGAGTGGACTACTTTTGGCGCGTCGGGCACCTTTGGGTGTGCTCCACGCCGAACGCTTCAGCCCGGAGGAGGTAGAGGAGATGAAGAAGTTCGGGGCGTTAGTCCATACGACAACATAAAACCCACTGTTAATCATTGATTGCCAATTGTCCTTGTGTAGTACCATAGCTCGATGTCGATGCGTATCATGTTGCTTGCACGCTTCCAGATATACAAAGGTACAGTCAGAGTGAGCGCCAAGCACAATGCATACGAGCAGATCGGCTATGGCGCGAGCGCCGGATAGCCGGAGACCAAGCAGCTGCTCGCGGTCATGATAGCCGGTACAACGAACCCTGGGCCTGAACAACCTCCACCTCGTCTCAGATACGGAGTATCGGTCAAGCCTTCGGGTACAACTTGAACCACAAGAAAACTATATCTCAATTGTCCGAGGACAGGCTACGCGCATAAGGCGGACGAATGGTGGTCAGAGCCAACCTCCGCCTCCTCAGTCGCGTCGCGTTTCCCCGCACGACCATGTCCCGCCGCCAATGGACACACACGCCCATCAGGGAGCTGCACGCGCCCGTGCCACCACCAACCCATCTTACACCCGAACCACCACTACACTTGCTGTCACCGCTTGGGTCTGAACTCGATATACCTGGCTATAGATGCAGCACACATGTCTTTCCCGCTGCATGGCCGCGCAGCACTCCATTCGTACCGTATCCGGATGATCTGCAGGGGCTAGATCGAATTGAGAGGAAGGAGGAGAGGAAAGCGCGTCTGGCACGGGTAGCGGATACCATGCTTGCCATCAAAGCTGCGTACGAGCGTGAAGGCGGCGACGCGCAGAATGACGAGAGCGGGCGAATATTATGGATGACGGCGACGCGCTGGGTGCGCACGACAGGCGCGAGTGCCGGCACGGGTGGCAAGACTTTACTATGCACGCACGCGAACGGTCTACACGGCTCAACTTACGCGCCTGTCCTACGGCGCTTACTCGCTCAGAGGCAAGATATTGCCGAAGTTTGGGCTCTTGACGGCGTACAACATGGCGATGCGGCACTCTTGAACGCCGGGAAACTGGGCATACTGTACGATTGGCACGAAATGGCCCGCGATGCACTCTGCTTCCTTCAGCACTTCCTACCGTCCGAACTCGATCCCACGCCACTACCAACATCACTACCCCGCCTCTCGTTGAACACTTCCTTCCGCAAAGTCTACGGACTGGGTCACTCATTCGGTGGATGCTCCTTGGTCCTCGCTGCATACCGCAACCCAGAGCACTTCGCCGCCCTGATGCTCGCAGACGCGGTCATCGTACCGGCTGACATGGACCGTTCCACCCGGCGTGCGCCCGGCTGGGTCGCCCCAGACGGCACCAAGACGTCTGGCGGCCACAACTCATTGCCGTCCTACGTGATCGGTGCGCTCAGCCGACGCTCGCGATGGCCCTCACGTACAGCCGCGTACGAAGCTCTCGCTTCGAACCCATTTTTCGGCTCCTGGGACAAGGATGTGTTGGACATCTATGTCAAGCACGCGTTGGTGGAGGAGAAGGAGGGAGGAGAGGTGCGCTTGAAATGTGAGGGTGTTAGCGAGGCGGCTGTGTTTGCTGAAGCACGGGCTCCGCGAGAGGCGTGGAGCGCGTTGCCGAAGCTTGACGGGCGTATACCGCTGTTGTGGATCAATCCACCCGCGGGCGAAAGGTCAGAGGTTGTTCTCTGATATGTGGTATCGATCGCTGACAAGACCCTTCGATAGTTTGGTTCAGACGCAAGAGATCGCGGATGCTCGCGTCCGTCTACGATCACCCAACAGCGCACATGTCACCATACCGAATGGTACACATCTGGTATGCAATCATCTGTGCCTCTGTGTCAGCGCGACTCATGGTAACAACTATAGATCGTGCAAACCCATCCGCGTCAAGTCGGTACGGTCTTCCCGCTTTCCCCGCTTTCATCTTCGCTTGCTCACTTGCGCCTATAGCGGAGGCCGCACACCTTTTCTTGCAAGCTGTCGACTCGGGAGCTGTCGGCGACGTGCACGAACTGCTGTTGCGGAACTCGGAGGGCACGACGCCAGCTCAATCTGGATCTCGCGCTCGGTTATGAGATCTTAAGCGCGTAGATCTAATCTGATCTGATCGTGAACATCAGGGCTTGTGAGGACATGTACTATTTTACTCTTTCACGAATGTATTCTTCTGGATATCAGGCTTCTCACTCATCGTGGATCCAGACGCATAAAATAGGTTCCCAAGTCGTGAAGGTCGCGTAGCTACAAGAGATCGTAAGGAAAGCGAACAACAGGTCGAAAGAAATGGATCCTTCAGACGACTGCACGGCCTATTACCCCTTCTTCGTATTGCGGAGGTGCTCCCTCTACCTCTCCGCGAAGCGCCAGTACCTCGATCAGAGCATCCAACCTTCTCGTGAGGCCGACCACAGCCGATCCTTGCGTAGTGGGTTCAGCGTTGCTCGAGCCCGTCATGTCCAGAGGGCGCTCTCCCCGGATGTCTATGTCAGCTAAACTGTCCATATCTGAGTCACTGAAGTATCCCGAGCGCCGAGAGTATGATACGCCCATCTTCAATTTCGGCGGGCGCGTTGAATCGAATGGTGCGGTGAGCGTGAAGGGGACCGGTTCGACCCTTGACCTGGTAGCAATCGAAGGCACAACCTTCTCCTCGTGTATCTGTGACGCGTGCGCGCGTTTGCGACGACGATAGAAGACAGTCGCGGCAAGGAGAAGCGTAGCAAGCCCGACGATGCTACCCACCACGGCGCCGACGATGACTGCGACGGGCACTGCGCGGTTTGGCGGTCTCTCGGCTGGAGCCGCAGAAGTCGAAGGACTGTCACTGCAGAGGGCTAAGTGAAGTCCAAGCAGTACGAGATGCCGTGCCGCACCTCGGAGCTATATCCAATGCAGCGTTCAGTACTGAGAGCGTCTCCAGATTCCCCGCTGTAGTGAAGTCCGACCATCCGCCGCCAACCCAAGAGATTCTATAGTCGTCACTACTTCCTATTCGCGCATTGGCTTGGATTGCGTTGAACTAAGCCAGGACCTGCGTCAGGATTCCAGTGGAGGAAGTAGTGTGAGCTAACGGACCTGCATTGTGATGTAGCTGTCAATAAGGTTCTTCATGGCGATGTTTGAGGGGTTTCGCGCTCTTGCCTCTAGCAGGCCGTGTATCATAGTCCCTATGATCTCAAGGTCAAGACCCGTCCTCGTACGTTGGAGAGTTCCGCCTCTTACCCTTTCTGTAGTCCGGTACATCTGGGTGATGATCAGATGTGCTTAAAGGCTCTACGAAGTGAATCAAGACGGACCTTCTGTGATGATCCCCTGTGCATTGTGCCACGCCGGAGTGACGACAGCGCTGGGTATCAACTCGTACAACCTATCACAAGTTCAGTCAGGGTGCAAAGCAATGCTCGTGATTGATGACGCACAGCTGTGAGTACGTCTCATCATGAGTGATGTTAGCCAGGATACTAAGACCCTCGATGAATGGACCGAGGTCCCATGTGACAGGGTTATTAGTGGAGGGTGTGCATGTGGTGACGTCCAGCGTTTCGACGACGAGAGCGCTCGCGTGAGTAGGGTCAAGCATGTACGTTTGCATGAACTGGACTGTGAGCTCTGCGGTGGTCAGATACGTCGTGTTGCCGGTTAGCTCGGCTAATCGGGATGTGAGCCTGAAACATGAGTATCATCAGTCTCGCAAGCAAGATCGGGAGTGGGGCGACGTACGCAAACCACGGCCTACAGATGATCTCAGTACGATAGGTCTGAAGGAGATGAGCTTTCGCTTACGATATGATATGGCTTGAGACCGCGAGGTTCGTAGCGTTCAATCGGTTCTGTAGAACCATCAGTAAGGGTCATAGCGCGAAGCTGGTGACAGTTCACATCGAACACTAGCCCGGCCAGTGTTGCTAGAAGCGACGCATGAGCTTGCGTACGACCGTTTACTAGGGATGTAGTCGCACTGACTCACGTTGACAACTTGATGTCGTATTGAACGCTCGAGGAAAGTTGCCGCTTTCAGCGGCAGATGGAGTGATGAAGGCACTATATGCCAAGTCCCAGTTGGCCTTCGCTACTTCGAGATGGGAGGTATCGTTGTAGGCGAGGTACGCGCTCAGTTCAGCCAGGCCGAAGTAGCTGTGATGCGCCTTTCAGTGAGGCGAGCCTATCGATGATGTGGAGCGCGGCGTACGAGATGTCGACGACCCATTCCTGAGAGCCTCGTGTAAGCCAGCATGCTTGGCACTAGAACGCCGAAGGGCTCACATCAGGCCTCTGAGGATACGGCGGTCCCGTCTCGTATATGTGCAGCGTGTTATCGACGACCTGGCTCTTCCAGGTAGCGTTACCCCGAATCTGGTCCTGAGAGGATAGAACGAGTGCGATGTTGGCAGTCGTAGAGTCCGGGATGTCTGTACACGTTGCGTCAGGACCAAGCAACAGTGTGCACAACGAAGACGCACCTTTGGACACCGTCCCGAGTGTTTGATCGATCCTGGACTGAAGCTCCTGAGCGGCCCCTATGGCGATCGTTTCGCGCTCTGCGCGAGTTAAGTTCGAAGTCGTATCCTGGGCAGGATTAGCTCGGATTGGATATCTAGGAGACAAGCTCTTGCAACAGTTGCTATACCTGCCAAGCAGAAGGGACCGTGAAGTTCTGAGAGAGAACGAACGGAAGAAAGATAATGAGAAGAAGGGTGCACCGGGCAAAAGAGAAAGACGGAGACATTTGAAGAGGCAAGCACGGTACGTGCTGGAGCGAGCGAGCGAGCGCACGGGAAAACGATGCGTACTCGCGCTATATGCTCTAGCGGCGACCAGAAGTTGTCGTTCGTGGTAGATATACATCTCGAAGAAGCTCGGACTGGCCACCGAGGGCTGCCACTGACGACACTACTCAGTGCCCAGTGATAGCCATAGCGACGAGGCCTTCCCCATCTTGTTTGGATCGTGGGCATATCATCAGCATCCGACAGCTGTCATGATCTACCGGGCGGGCGCCTTGCTGCCAATAGCTCCCGAGAGTGAGCCATACGCTGACCAAAGCAGCCAGATGCTGAGGATAGGGTCACAATTCAATGTACATTATGTACGTGTGCACACGCCATCGGATGGAGTGCGGCGGGCGGTGGGATGAGCTTCTTCACCAACGGGTCTGAAGTCGCCTCAAGCACAGGTGAAAAGTCGACGGCATATAGAGCCACGAGTCCTGTTAAGATCTCCTTGCGCCCCTTTTCCACGGCCTCTTGAAGGGGCCGCCATGCACACGCTCATTCATGTGCTCGAAAGGGGGTCTGACAGGACTGGACGCGTTGCGCCACGTCAGCTTCTACTGGCCGAACATCGATACATGAGTCAAGACGTGGAGAGCACGGTGAAAGAGACTGTGATCAAGTACGGCGAGTGTCTTGTAAGCGGAGAGGACCATCCGTAGAGTGTAATACATATATAGATCGTGCTGGTAAGTGGCAAGCCGCAAGCGGCGCGGCGCGGCGGCGGAATCCGTATCGGCGACTGCCGGCGATCCCTTCACTGCAACCGTCACCACTGCAGCTCTCACTTATTAATAGCTTGGGTCGACCCGGCTTTGAAGGACACTATAAAAGGCGACTATAACAAACTGAAGAAGAAGGGAACACCGACAGTACCTGTGCGCTAGCCTTCTCATGTCGAGGCCTCGTTCTCAGACCGGCAGGTTTCGAAACTGACAGGTTACTACCGCTGCAAAACGTGGTCTTCTGTACAATATGTTGCCCTCATATGTCATTACAGTACACGATAGGGACGTAAACCCTATCACAGCGATTCAATCACAGAATCAGGATCGGCGCTACACACAATACTTGGTCGAGATCACGGCCCGGGGCGTACTTGGCCCGCGGTCGTTCCAGTGGTCCTCGGTTCGTAGAGTGGAGGAGACTCTTCAACTGCACCATTACGACGAGTGGCTAGTGCATCTATCAGATTCTCCAGTCTTCTTGCAAGCCCGTCAGCAGCTTGACGAGGAGGCTCGGTTGGCCCATCGGACATGCTTCCTCCTGCTGTCTCGTTTCCATTTGCAGCACTGGAATCAGTGACGCGCGAGTATGGGTTCCCTTTCGTCGTTGCTGAATGACGTATGTCGGACACCGTCAGGACGTAAGGTTCAAGAACTCCGGGTTGTCCTCTTGGGGGTGCTGTGAGTTCCATTGCGCCGTTCGCGTATGCCGACCCTCCAGACCGCTTTCGGCGGAGGCATATCAACAGGCCAATAGCGCACATAGCGATTCCCGCGACTCCACCGACGACGGCGCCAATGATGGCCCGCACGTTGATTGAAGGGTGAGCTACTGGTTCCTGATCTCTGAAAGAGGTTGAGAATTTATTGAGCCTCAAAGTCAGAAGAGAGGGCGACGTACGGAGGCGCGGGGGCAATCGCGGTCGCAGCATTGAGAGTATGGAGCGCTTCAATGCTCCCCATGCGATCGAAGGATGATGACGGCCCACTGTCTCCTATCCAGGAAACATTGTAATTGTTGTTACCCAGCGAAGCGTTATTCCAAACAGCATTGAACTGAAGGACGTGAGCACATCTTCCGAGATCATACTACTTCATCGTTCACCTGAATGGTAAGGAAAGTGTCGATGAGACTGTTTAGTGTATCATTCGCGGTATTGCTACGTCTCGCTTCTAACAGAGCATGAACCATGTACCCTTTTTGCATGGTCAGGATCTAGTGCACTTGTTCAACTTTGTGAGTCATCGCTCACCCTTTCCAAGGTCTACGCTTCCTACGATACGGGTAAGCTATATCTCGCTAAACTCGAAACGTAATGTTCACCTTCGGTCATCACGCCCTCTTGATTGCTCCAACCAAGCACCGCTCGAGATATGAGTTCGGCGAGTCTACGGGTGTCTTCAAATGTGATTGTTAGAAGGACTTACCGCAACACTCACAGTTGTGTGTAATTCTGATTCCCCGTGAGGTTTGCTGCTATGCTCAGCCCTTCAATGAGAGGCGCAATGTCCAGCGTCGTTGACGAGCCATATGATGGTTCGCATGAAGTAGCATCAAAGGTATGGGCCACGAAATCTGGACTGGCGACCGTGAGGTCCAATAGATACTTCTGTATAAACTGTATGGACGTCTCTGCCGGTTGCAGATACGTCATGTCTCCAGTTATATTCGCCAACTGAGCAGACAACCTGAAATAGGAGAGCTGAGACCACTATCCGGAGAACGAGGCCGTACGTACATGATCCACGGTCTAGAACAGAGCGAGTGAGCGCGGTCTCGCGAAAAGGGGAAATATTCATACGTCATCATCCGTGTCCACACTGCCCGATTGGTTTGGTCATCGTACTATATACGGATGTTTGAGAGTCTAAATGATACAGAGAACGGAGAGCCCTTACTTCGAATACCATTCCGCCCAATGTCACTGACATTGATCTATCAGCGAAGAGACAGATGTTACGGTTCTCAACTTACTGCCACAAGCTGGATCAGTTGTCAAGTTCCGTGGAAAGACATTGCTTTGAGCCACTGCGGGGGAAATGTAGCTGTTCTTAAAGATGGTGTTCCAGTTAGCGATTGCAGTGTTGCGGCGATCGCTGTCGTTATAAGCTCGCGAGGCAGCCAGCTCGGCGAGGCCGAAGAAACTAGGTGCTCGTGGATCAATAGAGCGGTATATTTCGACCACTTTGGAGGACACACGCAAAGTCGATGTTGTAGGCCTACATGGCATAGTAAGCGAGTGAACTTGCGAAACGAGAACTGCGCCAATGCTCACCAGACTTCTATCGTGATCCGAGAGAACGTCGCCTACCACAGTTTCATAAGCCGTGCCATTGTTCAGCCGATCATTGTCCGCCAATACAAGAGCGACTCCCGCTATGGTCGTGAGTGCGTTCTTCTCTACCCATGAATAAGTTATCCGCTGACTTGTTGTTACACGGCGTGCGACGTGCAACGTACCTGTTGACAATTGAGATTCTGCACTCTGGATTTGAAGGTGTTGTGCAGCAGCTCTAGCTAGGTCCTGCCTATCTGAGCGGCTCATATTCGATTCTGTGTTCTAGATAGTTCATGAACCTCCTGTCGTCGCTTTGGAGATTCACCATGCCGGAAACAACTCACTTGCCAATCTGATGGAATGGTGTCATTTTGCCCATGAGCTCCTTGTAGAAACGAGAGCATGAGATGGAAGGCGAGTACGAGATAGAGCATCATAATCTCTGAGTCGACGGTGGGTAGGGACAAGGACTTGAGCCCATGCAAACGGGCAAGGATATCCTAAGTACCGTCGCGAATCGTGGGCGGGACAGATGAGGATCTAGATACGTAGGTGTGCACAGCTTTCTCAAACAACAAGGGCGGATATCTGCATCACGGGAACCGAGGATGCCTCTCATCTAGGTGATCCCTTGCCCTCGAAAACTCTGCCGGACCGATTTGCGAACGTCGTCGAACGCATATTGAGCTGCTCCATCAGCCATCCTATTGTTGGAATCCCTTTTTAGAGCATCCAAATACACAGTGTCGGTGAACTGAAGATTTCGTCGCTTTATGAGGTCCTGTGGTGAAAGCAATACGCAGTGCTGATCGACGCACGCCCGACTGGTCGGGTCACCGTCGTGCTCCGACGAACAGTGAAAAGAGGACAGTTGTGGAGTTGAGAGATACGTGAGGTAGAGAGATAGGAACTTCACGCATCTGAATGCGACTTTGGTATCTCCATTCTTGTACTTGTTGCGGTCGCGACGGAGATCCCGCGTCGGGCGTTTACAGTCAGCTGTCAACATTGCTCATCCAACAAGGCGAGAGTAATTGGGTCGGTCAACATCGAGTACAGACATTGGAAGTGTAAGCCATGGAATGAGTCGGGACGAGAATAGTAGTAGGACAACACTCATGACATCGTGGTCTGCGGTGAAGTTCAGGTCAGGGCCGCTTCGGAACAGTTGCTGCCTTCGGGCCGAACCTGCCGAACCCGAATGCAGTGCCGCTTCGTCTCTTGCGCTCGACCTCCATGCTGTTGGTACATGCGTCGCTATGAGCCCTCGATACGATCACTCTCATGGCCCGCCTCCTTATTGATACGAGTGACTACATTCTATCTGCGATAGAAATTCCCAAGCCAGGAAGTGCTTTTTGGAGAACAACTCTGTTCTCGACTGAGTAGTACGCGTCGGTGCAAATCCTGGACCGTATCTGCGGTCGGGCATCATATGGGACTGAGCGCCCGAGCTAAGTATTCAAGTATCGTGAGGAGTCCTGTCTATCTGAGATACTTTCACTATCCATTTGAGGCGATAGTCGTCAGGCTGGTCGACGACACTAGGGTAGCGCATCCTAGTTCGATGCCGACGAACTTTCCGCATACATCAATACATCTTCTGACATACGTACATGCAAGCTCAACGCCGGGAGCAGATCTACAGATGTCCTCCCTACTTATTCATTCCAGGCTCGTATTCATCCTCCTTCGTGACTGACATCAGCAAAGTCGGCGGACGAGCACGAAGAACGCGTTAAAAGAACAAAGCGCGCCCTGACGCCCCGCGCATCAGACCCCCCACTCCCTTCCTCCGCTCTCTTCTGCATCGCACACCAACACCAAACCCTCTGCCCCATTCATCTCTGCTCATCATCGCCCCAACGTGCCGGCAGTCCGACGCAGTCAGAAGCGGTACCCGGCGCGGTTATGCATCTTGTTCGTCAGAAGGGCGCAGAACAGAATTCAGAGTTGGAAGTCCGACCCGCAACCCGCGCGCGGCTTAGGGGGTTCGCTCATGGAGTCGTTAATTCGATCGGTCAAGTCAGGAGGGGGACGCATTTGACGAGTAGGGGGGCTTCCGGGGTGTGTGCGATGGATCGTCGTGTAAAGCCAATGTTCGTCGGGTACGCCGATGGAAGCCTGTTGTGTCTGCGAACGCAAAACGCTCCAGTCATGAGAACGGCTGGAGATAACGCCTCGTTGAAAGCGGGCAAGTCGCCCACGTAACGCGATAGAGTACCGAGGGCTTCGCAGTTGCAGAACGCGTCGTTCTCTGCTTCGGGCTTCGAGCAAATCTTCAGAGGTCCGGCGAGGGAGAAGGACGTGCGTATTCCGTCTGAGTCGGTACCCACGGCGAGCGGCGGTGGACAAATACAGAAGCATCGCGCCGTTACCGGCGGCTTGGTGCTTCACCGACCGATCTCAAGAAGCATACGTAGCTTCCCAGAGATCTTCAAAGCGGACACGCTCAAGTTCACGCACGTCGTGTATGGCGTAAGGTGCAGCGAAACCGCGGTACGCGGAAACGTCGGTGCGGTACGCGTGAACAACGCCCGGCCGCGCAGTACGGTCGATCTGAGCCGTGTAAGCAGACGTCACATCGTTCATAGTACACCGTGCCACTCGGCGTACATGAACGAGTAGACGCGCAGGAATGTCGGCATGCGGGAGAAGCATCGGCAGCCGGGGTTGACCTCACGGTGAACTCTGTCTTCGCTCGTATGTATAACGTCTTGCCCATCCTATGCGGTAGAAGCACGGGCCCGGTTGAACGCGCGCCACTCGGAATGTGCGGGCAGTGCGTTGCCGTAGGAGCTGTTGAACGCAGGAATGTCGGGATCGGGAGGAACCGCGCTGATGTGGCGTCGCTACTTGCAGTCTTCGTTCACGCTCTACCTGCGCAACGCTGTCTATTCTGGTGAGCGGAGAATCGTGTATCAGTGGCGAACAAAGTGTACCGATACACAATTGAGCCGAAGGGAAGTAAGTTGCTGCGACTGAGGCGATAGCCACTTCACCGCCGGAAGTTGGAACGCCCACTCAAACGCGCATCCCGTACGCGCCCGGACTGAGAACAGTATGAGAAGACGCCTGGCGTTAAGGCGAGATAGACGTCGACAGTCTTGATTTTGAAGTGCCGAAGCCCATGCCGAGGGAAGAATATGGGCACAAGTTGTCGCGCGTACGCCACAACGACACATACGAGGCCGCCGTCGACATCGAGGCCGGGCTCGACGGCCGTAGCGTGTACAGTACGACCCCGCCTCGTTGCCTGTGTGTGTATGATGAGTATAGAGAAGAGATGCAATTAAGTGATTGACGTACGTCGTGTATTGCGGACAACTGGCTTTGGCAAGTCAAGGCCCGAGATGAAAGCCGACGTCGAGGGGATCGAAGCGCACAGTTCATATCAAGCTTGAGGGGAATGTCACGAACACGCAATGAGAAGAGGGTAAAGCATATCATAGAGGGCATATGTACAACAAACGAACCATCCACCTCCCATACACGATTCTCCTCCGAACGTCCGTAAACCAAGCGCATGTGGGGCGTAATATCAAGCCAGGAGCCGAGCAAAAACCAAGAAGAGTGTGGTATGTATGTATGGTATACAACGGACCAGTGACGGTAACGTGCGCGAGCAATCAAGAGACGAGGCGGGGTAAGTAGCTAGGTAGGAATCAGCAGTCAGAATCAAGACACGAACATGAACAGACAGAAACGCAGACGGGTGGGGCTACAGTGTTTTCGATACGAGTACGAATCGCAAGCAGACTAGGAGGTCATTCACAGGAAGGTAACTGGAGGGGAATAGATAGTTGTGGGGCCCACGTACGCGGGGCCCTTCGCGTGGTATCCGGGTGTACGAGTACAACACGGTCGAGACGATGTGTGTGGACTGGAGCGGAGAAGGGCAAGAGGAACTGAGAATGTATGTACGTAGCGGTAACCAAGATGTGGATGTACGCAGCAGGACAGGCGGTCGGGAATCGAGTCGGGGAGTCGGGGAATCACAGAAGCAGCAGATACGAAATAACCTATAACCGAGAACTTGACGAAGCGTAGCAGAGACGATGTGTGGTTGAGCGGGCCTTGAGCGCGCGTGCGGATAGTTGTGCCGGGTACGAAAGCGACGATAGCGACTGAGACCGGAGAGCTTGCGACTGAGACGAAACTTGGCGAAGAGGCGAGAACGAAGCAGGCGGTGTCGTAGCGGTCGTTATATGCGTCGTGATCGTCGTCTCATGTCGTGATGTCGAAATCGGTAGTGCTCAAGCGCGAGCGGGTGGCGGAGGTCGAGTTGAATCGGGAGCGATTTGAAGTCGATGTACGCGCGGGCACATGAGGCGAAGAGGCCAACGCGACCGGCGCGTCTGACTTTCACCGCAAGTCGCGCCGCAGATCGAATCATGCATCGTGCAGGACGCTCAGTTCGCCTCCCACATCCCCCCCGCAAACGCGCTCCCCGCGGGCTCCTGCAAAAACGAATTGAACAGCGCATCTCCATCCTGCGCCTCGCTCTTCGCGCCCTCCTTCGCCGCAGCGCCCCACTGATGCCCGCCCCACGAATGGCTCTGCCACTCATACTCCATCCCTTGCCCCCCACCAACACCACCCTGCCCATTCCCACCATTGCCCCCGCTAACACCACTCCCCGCGCCCATCTGCGCAAACGCCGCATGCGGGCTCAGCGCCGGCGCCCCAATATGCAGCGCGTCCTCGGGCGGGATCATCGGCGGGTGCACGAACGTCGGAGATTGCGTAGGCGGGAGCAGCGGCGGGTGCCACGCGCCGGCCCCGGGCGCGCGCAGCATGCCGTACGCCGGGAACGACGAGAACGGGAACTCGAGGCGCGGGCCGGGGAAGTCGGCCGGGCCGTAGACGTTGCCGTTCGAGTCTTGGGCGTAGCCGGACGCGTTCGTGACGGCGTTGGCGTCCTGCTGCTGTTGCGGCTGCTGCTGCTGGGCATAACCAGAATTGTTGGCGTCGCCCTGCGGCTGGCCGTACGACTGGCCGTTATCGTACCCATTGCCGGGACCGTGGCCGTAGTTCGAGCCGGGCGAGCCGAACGCCTTGGGCGCCTCGTAGCTCTCGCTCGCGAGCGACGACGCCGCGGTCGTCGCGTAGCTCGCGCTCGAGATGGCCGAGCTGGGCGGCTCGGTGCCGCTCGCGGAGCTGATGCCGCTCGCGGTGCTGTACGTCGAGCTGGCCGTGCTCAGCCTTCGGCGCTTCGCCGCGCGCTCCTCCTCCTCGATCTCGTCGTCCGTCTGCGTCGGCCCGGTGCCCGAGAGCGAGAGCCCGAACTCGGCGGCGGGGTAGCCGTACATGAGGCCGCCGTACTGGTCCGCCCAGGGCGCGGTCGAGCTGTCGGGCGCGAGAGTGGGCGAGCGCGTCTATGTACCAGAATGGGATGTGTTAGCGCCGAATCGGGAAGAGGGATGGGTGCGAGCGGGCGCTTACCAGGCCGTCGTTGTTCGGGCTCGCGCGCCTAGAGGCGCCAGGGCTGGCGCTGGGCGTCTCGCCGGGGCCGCTGCCGCGGCGGGCGTCATGGCGCGAGCGCTTGCGGATCACGTCCGACTTCATGCTGATCGGGCGCGCGGAGCCGTGCAACTTGTAGCTGTAAGAAAAGTAACGCGTAAATATCGGGCGGTCAGCTGACGAGTGGAAGAGAAAGATACGCACTAGAGGCCGCAGGCGTTGCAGACGGTCTTGCCCTCCTCGTCCTTGCGCCACAGCGGCGTGGCGGTCGTGTGGCAGTTGTAGCACTGCGCGACGGGGATCGCCTGTCAAAAGCCGAGGATATCAGTATTATGGTTCAATCAACAGATGTCGTTCGCAGGGATAGAGAAGCGCAAGACGCAAGGAACGGCGGCGGATCAGGGTGCCGTGGGGAAAGAAGCGCGTGTAAGAGGTAAGAGCAGAGTACGCTAGGACGCGTATGGCGGAATGACGTGGGGCGAGAGGCTGAACGCGCGAAGATGGCGGACGCATTACGTGCCAGCCGACGAATGGCGGGCGGACACGGGCGTTGGAGAAGCAGGGCGTACGGCCCATGGAAACGGAGTGTACGGAAGAGGAGAAAGGCCGGGGGGAGAGGAGGGAGACATACCTCGATGGGTTCGACGCGAGGGCCGCCGGTGGTGCTCGCAGAGGCAGAGGCAGAGGCCTCGACTTGACGGGCGTGCGCCGGCTGGCCGCGCATCGTCTTGGGCCTCGGGCGCTTGTGCAATTTGCAATACAAGCCACATCTGTATGAAACGAAGGCGTCAGCGTCAAATTCGTGATAACGTAAAGAACAAGGCAGCTGTGTGGGAAGGAAACGTACGCGTTGCAGTTGAGCTCGTCGTTGAGCCCGCGACGCCACAAGGGCGTGTGAGTCGCACCGCAGTTCGAGCATTCGGCTTTCTGGCCACCCGGAGCGGGGACGGTGCCGGTGCGGACGCTGAGGGCTGGCTTGCCGGCCGGCGCTGTGGCGAGCTTGGCGGGCGCGACGCTCGCAGAGGGTTTGGGCGTAGAAGCAGAAGGCGTGGCAGAGGGTGTCATCGTGGTGGTCGTAGCGGACGTCGAGGCAGCTGGAGCAGAGGCGGTGGCGGGCGTGGGCGTGTCGGGTGCGGCAGTCTCGTAGTCCATGGGCGCCCAGCTGTGCGCGGGCTCGTTGTCCTGCGGCGGGGTGTCGGCCATGAGCTCGTCGATGCCAAGCTCGATCGTCGGCCGAGAAACGGCGAACGCGTCGTAGTTGGTCGAGCTCGACCTTACACCCTCGCCGTACGAGTTGCCGTTCGCGAGTGTCGGCGCAGCATACAAGAGAGCAGCGGGGCCAAAGTCGGACGAGAAGTAAGAGGGGAAGCGGAGCGCGGCGAATTCGTCCTCCTGGATGGGCGCGGGCGCGGAGGGTGCCGAGACGGACTGCTTGCGGCCGCGCTGGGTGAGCGGCTGCTCGACGACTTCTTGTGGCTGCTGCTGGGGCTGGCGGGCGGTGCGCGGGCCGGTGCGGCGGAATGCAGCCGACGGCTTGAGGTCTGGCTTGTCGACGTGCTGGGCGGCGGCGGGCTCGGACGGGCCGTCGATGGAAAAGGTAAACTGCATGCGCTTGATGGTGCCGGGGCGCGCCGACTGCTGTGCCTCGCGCGAGCGCTCCTTCTCGTGGGCGCGGGCGACGAGCAGGTCGGTGCTGCCCGTGCGCCGGAAGCCGGGCGCCTCGAGCTCCTCGATCGACCGTCCCTTCTCCTTGTCGAGCTTGTCGCCCATGACTTTGGACAGCTTCTTGAACTCGCGCTTCGACTTGGCGTTGTCCGTGTCGACCATCAGGTTTTGCAGGTGCCAGAGCCGCCACGAGAGGTTCTCCAGACGCTGGCCTTGCTCGAGGTAGCCGGCTACCTTCGTGCAGACCTGGACGTGTGGTTAGTATATATATACTATAACAATGTTCACGACACCGCACACACCTTCCAGGTCTTGGTGAGCGAGTCGGTGTCGCCGAGGTTGGAAAAGGCGATAAAGGACTTGTTGCCCTGTTCGTTGGCGGGCATGAGATAAAACCAGTCGAGCGCGGGGAACTGCATGTGGGCTTCACCTTGAACTTGAGATTCAGGATGGACGGCATTCTTAAAGAAGAACGCGCGCGCGGAGACGGGCGAGCGATAGAGCTGCTAGTGCACTGGGTGGTCGGTCGGGAAAGAAGAGCTACCAGCATCCCCTGGCGTATATGGAAACAAGAATCCGACTAGAAGCGCTGCATTCTGCAGCTGAAACCTAGCTTGGGACAAGTAAGGTTTCGAACCTCAGTCCCAGTATCTCGTGCAGCGCGAGTATACCTGCGGCGCTGTAGGCCTTATACTTATAAGACCCTCTGTTCAAAGTCGAAAGCAAGCGTGGCTGGCCAGGGCCCACGGCCTTCGGCCGGCTAATCCGAGCGACATTGTCGCGCCAGCCTGCCCTCGCTCCTAGCTGAGTCTCATATGGCGAGCGTGGCTTGCATTGGAGNCTGATGGCATCAGCACTTCTCCGGCAATCACCGGTCGGTCGGTTCCTGCGCCGGATTTCGAAAGTGGGAAACCTAGCCAAGCTAGGTAATAATCATAATGGTGCCCAGCCGCGCTACAAGCCCTGGGAATACAAAAGGCGCAAAGTAGCCCTACATGTACTCCACACTCTATACTAGTAGTACACCAGCACGGCCAGTAGTACGGTTATCTAGCGAAAGGCTGAGGGTACCTGGCTGACAGACCGACTTTTTAATTGGCGCCCGACTTTGAAATGTCGTCTGCATTTAAATGGCGCCCGCATTTTTATTCGCTCGACATTTAAAAGCCGCCTGACATTAAAATCCCGGACCGACTCACCGGTCCTGGAATAGAGATCTGCAACTGGGGTTCTGAAGTTCTATAACCTGCGAATACATGCCAGCGCATCGATGGTCGACGCGAACAGAGAGCAACAGAGCTGTCCGTCAAATCCCCACACACGCCGTCGGTGCGACTCGAGGCCCGAACATCCGATGCTCACGCGTTGGCCACATCTCCCTTTGATCATGCACCATCACCAGTTCTCCGTGGACTGGCAGGCGTGAGGACCCTCGGCTACTACCCAGTTCAGTTCCTCCTATACTCGGATGCAAGTGGTTCAAAAGAGGCAAGTCATATTTCCACGGAAGCATATACTACAGTCACACATACTCATCATAGCATAGTCGAGAGCGTACGGTCCATGATATCTGAGGAAACCTCGTAGAGGTATCTCGCCAATTCATCTACATGTCTTACTTCCAACCTTTCCTCTCAGCGGCCGGCCTCCTGTCCCATTTGCGGGAGTCTACCACTCCGTGAACCTCCTCCAAGTGTTTATTCAAGCCGTACGGGCGGAAATCCGAAAACCGACACGACTCCCCGTTCGTCGCGCCCGGCTCGTGGTTGCAGAGGTAGATGATGCCGAGGTGAGTCTGGCTCTCGACATGGCGCAAGAACGGGCTGAAACCTTTGATATCTCCCAAGCAGATCGGGCATCTGTAATATCCCTCCTTCCCGCTCGGGGAGAAGTATTCGCTCATAGGGTCGGGCATACCGCCTACCCAGAAGCGCGCATGCTGGTAAACAGTGTCGCGGAGACGCTCGTATTTGTCCTGAACATCGCGCGGCAACAGCTCCTCCAATGCGGTGTGGCGACGGAGTATGACGCCGCCAACGTTGTTACGAACAATGCCGAGCCAGTCGTCGTGCTGGCCTGGCAATAGTCCGCCCTTCTTGATGAGCGTTTCGATGCGGGGCCCACGCGCGATGAGTTTACGAGCGGCTCGGGCGACACGGGTCGACTGTCTTCCGTGCATGGTCTGCATCTGGAGACTAACACGGGTCCTGCGTTTGGTGCGTTGCTCGCGTGACTCAGATGGAGGGACGCCGAGACTCGCTGCCTCCTGCGCCGATGGCCGTGCACTCTGCGTCTGCGTGTTCGTCGCGGTCTCTCCGCTGATGAATGCCGGGTGGTGTGTAAAGGTATCTCGTTCAGGGGTCTCCGGAGAGGCTCCCCCGCTGAAAATGTCGTTGGTGGGCTGCTGATGGAGAGAGAATGGGGACGCCGAAGATGAAGATGAGCCCGCGCTCTGCGCGAACGGGGTCCCAACCGGGCCCACAGGGTGCAGCGGGGACCAGTGCATGTTGGCGTCAGATACGCCGGGTTGCGCGCCAAGCGTGCTGAAGAGTGGCCAAGTGATCGCGCTGCGTGGTTCGACTGCCACAGGCTTCGCAGCCGGGGCAGGCGCGGGAGCATGATGGACAAGATTGGGATTGAAGGCATCGGCGAGCCCGAACTGGTCCGGGAAGGACCAAGGGTGGCTCGTCGACTCGGAGAGCGACGGACCCCAAACTCTGCCACCGACGCCGACACCGTCAAGCGCAGAGAAGAGTGCGTCTTCGGGCTCATGCCTGACACGAACAGGCGCGGCGTTCTTGACCCAGCTCGCTTCGGCCATATGCATTACTGACGTCCTGTGATACTCGTCGGACGCGGCGTGTGTGCCCATGACTAACTGAGCGAGTTCCTCGTTCGTGATCCCCGCGCCCACCGTGTAGCCACCGTCTCCCGCCGCATCAACACCGTCATCCAACATCTGCGTGTCGTCCGGGCTGCAGGAATCGCAGAAGCGTTGATATCTCTGGGATCGATAAGTCAGTGCGTCGTCTTCTAGGATTGCAGTACAGGGACTTACCAAATCCAACTGCTCCAGGGTCCTGCGAACTTGTTCCCACCCTTCCTTCCCGCCGACTGGCAGCTCAAGAGGGAAGGAGAAGGCCCCAATGTTAATAGTGCTCATCGCCCAATGATTGTATGCAGAAGAGGGAGAGGATGCGCGGTGGAGAATGGAGAGAAGACCGAGGGTGCGAGTTGTGAGTTGAGAGCGGCACGCTCGCGCTCGAGTATTTGTACGGCCGTCGATTGCCAATACACATGGTCTACGCTACTACAGTCCACGACCTTATGTGACAGCTCCCCTTCACGGTAGACACTAATGCCACTTGACAGCTCTTCTCGTCATGGTGCATTGTTCGGGCGTGGTCCACAGAGCCTCATTGTCGGCCACGGGCCCGAGCACGGCCCTCGGTGAGAGCATCCACCGTGCAGCAAAATAGCATATTCCCGAACGCAAATGGCTGCCCGATATGCTGACACGCGCGCCCCCCTGCGTCTACGTCTTGCTGGCTACGTCGATGTATGCGAACGAAGATGGCGTTAGGCTTCGTCATGGACCACGCGATGGTGGCGAAGACCACAACGTTCAATCCCGTCCCGTGGGCCCCCCTTCATCGCGTAGCGGGACAATTCTAAAATGAAATACTTGAGACTGTAAGCCGTGAGGTTACTAGTCAAAGGACAGAGAGTCGCTATCTGTTGAGCACCGGTGTGAACTCACCGTGATGATCATGAAGCACGCAGCTTCAATTTACGCGTGTGCGGCCTGTGCGGCGACATGTTTGCTTCGCATCGGATCTCCGTGTACATGTTCAGCTGTATCTGAAGGCGCGCTAAGTAGACTGAGATGGACCGGTGAACATAACTACTTTCCTTAAGATCAGTCGTCGGATATCTCGGGCGGCGACGTCAACAAGCGACAATAACACACGCCAGCCACCATTCTCAATGAAAATGTAGCTTTACGGACACTCTAACTTGGAGTGCGCTCCTTTCGGAGAGCACGCGTGGTTGCTTCAGATCGCCCATCGACGAGATGACGCCAAGATCTCCGCGTCTCCTCGAAGAAGATTCTCACCTGACCGCGTTTCAACCACTCGGCCTCGCGGCCCGAACGCTTTTTCCGTGCGCGCACGCACAACTTGTTCGCGAACTCCAAGCACAGCGTACACACGTATCGTACTCTCAACATGTCGGAACCAGCTTTACGATCCCGATCAGCTTATATTTTGGCACGATGCGCGTTTGGCACGCGGACAGAATATTATACCTAGGCCTGAAGATCTGAAGAGTCGTGATTGTGGAAAGCTCAGGCCCAATGTAAGTAATATATTAATGCCTCATCCAGGCCATTTTTTGATACAGCTCTCAGGTGTGCGCTCGACGCGTCGTTTATCTATCTCCTAGCGCGTACGTACCCCCAGGGCCAAGCTCTGCACCTGCTACCTATCACCGCGTCGCGTCGCGTTGTTGTCTTCACCGACCCTAACCCTAATGTTTGCGCGCAAACGTCAACCTCCTCGGACTCGCCCATAGTGAAGCAGGATCACACGCGTACGGATCGACGCGAAGACAGTTGTCACATTGAAAACTAGGCTTGTACAGTAAGCTGCTCTTAAAGAGAGTCGTCAAGACTCGTAGGAGCGATCGCGAGAGGTAGCGGTAGAGTATGGGTACATGAAAGACGAGAAATGACAGGGATACAAGCGAGAGCGAGGTCTTCATACCCTACCTAGAGCGAGAGCATGTATAGTACAGTACCACAATCCACAAGAGAGTAGCCAGACCAAATACACCGAAACACGTTGCTAAAATCTACGATCCATCGAAACGCTAGTTGAACGACACTGAAAAAATAAGGCGCTCTACGCCCAAGCCTGAGCACCAGCCCAAACTCCCGGCTCCCCAAACTTAACCTTCTTCCTCCCACCCCGTTCCCTCTCAACCCGCTCCTTAAGACTCTCCTCCCTCATCCCCCTCATCCCCCTCCCTCTCCCACGACCCAGAACCAGACCCAGACTCGTACGGCCAAGCGCCCGGCATGCCGCATGCCCCTAACAAGCGTGTCGACCTCGTCCGCGCTCGTCCTCGCGCGCTTGCGCGGGCGCGATCTGGCTTCGTCCGCGGCCGCGCGCTTGGTCTGGATCTGGGTCTTGAGGATGGGACGGGGAAAGGGCGAGTGCGTGGGCGTTGTGTTTGGGTCTTGCGGGTGGGGCGAGTGCGGGACGTTGGGCGTTGAGGCTGGTGTGCGGGCGAGAGGGACGTCATGCGGGTCCTCGCGCGTGAAGGACGTGTCGCGGGGATCTCGGGGTAGGGGGGTTGCCTGGGCTCGTTGGGTCTGTGTGTACGCGGTGCGAAGTGAGATGGGCGAGGAACGGCCGAGGGCGAAGCGCGGGATGTACCCAGAGGCGAAGCGCGAGCAGTGGAGGGTGAGCCGTGCAGGTTGGTCAACGGACTCGGTACCCACGCGCCGGAAAGGGATGGTCAAAGTTCCTCCCCAGCGAAGCGTGCCGATAGACGCGCGAAGCGGGAGGAAGCAGGCCCGATACGCGCGTCGTGCGTTGGGGGAGAGGCGAGAAGCCGCGGGTGGTGCGTGGCGGGGTGTGTGGCGAAGGCATCGTTCTTGCGGTCGGTGGTCAAGCACATATCTTCGTACACCGTCTTCCCCTTAATCTTTATGCCCCAGACTTCGTCGATATCAAGGAGCTCGACTGCAACATTATCACTTTCAACGACACGGTTGCGGCCCTCGAAGCCGCAGACTTGGTTATCCACGTCGAGGACCTCGACCGCAACGTATGCGTCATCGAAGATGTCGAAAGTGCAACGGCGGCAGCGGGGTCAGTTATGCCCATGACCGCAGAACCCTGCACGCGGCGATGACCACTCGCACGAGACGGAGCCAGCCCAAGAGGCTGGAAGGACAGGGCCTGGTTCAACGCGAGTGCTGGTGAAAGGCGGTTTGCTGACGCTGTAGAGCCTCGATCCGCTCCTGAATGTCGATTTCTACAATGAATTGAGTCAGAAGGGTGCGATAAACGCGAAGAGCGGAAGGAGATTCACATATTAACGCGGTGGATCTCGCCGTTGCTCTCGCTGCGACGATGCGAGTTGTGCTGTTCGCGTCCGAAGGCAGCAGCCATACCACCCTGCTGCTGAGGGAACTGGAAGCCGATGTCTTCTTCGCTGATCGCAGGGCCGAGGTGAGACGAGGGCTGACACTGGCTGCGACAAGCGCCGAGAGTGAAGCCCGAGGAGAGTTGGGACGGCGTCCGATATTGATGACTGCTGCTGCTCCTGGGCCTGAGCGAGCGCGACGAAGAGGGCGACGAGGAGCGGAGACTGGGCGCCGCCGTTGGCGTTCGAGCTGCCGCCTGCTACGAGCGCTAGATACAGGACGGGCAGCTGTGTAGCTTTGCCGCCTAGAGTTCCGAGCTCCCCAGGTAAAGGGCGCGCTGTCGTGAGCGTATGCGGGACGGGAGGGACGAGGGACGAGGAACAGTGCACGGGAGAGAGCATGACGGCGGGAGGCAAGAGACGCGGGGAGCGGGAAGTCGACCGCACGCGCCGAGTCATCCGCGCTGGCGCGAGGGGCGCGTTGCTCGAGTGTAAGCATGCATATACATATTGCGAGCGCGTACAGTAAGTATTGTATCGAAGGGAAGGAGCGTATGCTAATGCTAAACGGGACAAGAATCGTGGGTGAAAGGTGAATGCGTTCGGGCCGGACTTGTTGCTAAATCCATCCGAACCGCCAAAGACGTCGTGCAGAAGCTCAAGGGCACAATGGTCAGAGCGAAGCAGAATGATATCGGTGTGGCGTGAACAGAGTTGTCCGGTGTGGCCCGAGGCCCCGACATCCGATGCTCACGCGTTGGCCAGATCTCCCTTTGATCATGCACCATCACCAGTTCTTTGCGGACTGGCAGGCGTGAGGGCCTTCAGCGCCTCGGCTCCTACCCAGTCTAGTTTCTCCTACACTCGGATGTAGGTGGTCCTCAGGAGGCAAGTCATATTTTCGCAGAAGCATATACTAAAGTCACACATATTCATCATAACATAGTCGATAGCATACTGCCCATGATATCCAAGAAAACCCCGCAAATGCGTCTCGCCACTCCATCTACTCATCCTCCTCCTAAGACCTCCTGGACTTCCTGCCCGCCTCCTTCGCAAGCGTCCTCCTGTCCTTCTTTCGGCCGGAGTGCACCCCGTGCACATCCTTCAAGTGTCGATTCAAGTTGTTCGCGCGCCAACACGAAAACTGACACGACTGCATGGTCGTCGCGCCCCGCTCGTGGTTGCAGAGGTAGATGATGCCGAGGTGATTCGTGCCCTCGACATGGCGCAAGAACGCGGCCAGGTACTTGATCTCCTCCGTGCAGATCGGGCACCTGTAATATCCCTCCTTCGGGGAGAAGTATTCGCTCATAGGGTCGGGCAGACCGCCGACCCAGAAGCGCGCATGCTGGTAAACAGCATCGCGAAGGCGCTCGTATTTGTCCTGCACATCGGTTGGCAATTGCTTCTCGAATGCGATGTGACGATGGAGTATGACCCCGCAAATGTTCTTGCGAACGATGCCAAGCCAGTCGTCGTGCTGGCCTGGCAATAGCCCGCCCTTGTCGATGAGTTTTTGTATGCGGGGCCCAGGCGCGATGGGGTCATCAACAGCTTGGGGGACACCGGTCCTGAGTTCGGTGGGTTGCTCGTGTGACTCAGAGGGAGGGACGCCGAGACTCGCCGCCTCCTGCGCCGATGACGGTGCACTCTGTCCCTGCGTGTGCGTTGCGGTCTCTCCGCTGATGAATGCAGGGTGGTGTGTGAAGTTGTTTGGTGCAGGGGTCTCCGGAGAGGCTCCCCCGCTGAAAGTGTCGGTGGGCTGCTGATAGACAAAGAACGGGGACGCCGAAGATGAACATGAGCCCGCGCTCTGCGTGAACGGGGTCCCAACCTGGGCCAGAGGGTGCAGTAGGGACCATCCCATGTTGGCGTCGTATGCTTCGGGGTGCGCGCCGAGCGTACTGAAGGGTGGCCAAGTGATCGCGCTGCGTGGTCCGACTGCCTCAGGCTTCGCAGTCGGGGCTGGCGCAGGGACAAGATGGACAAGGTCGAGATTGAAGGCATCGACGAGCGTTACTGACCCCCTGTGGTACTTCTGAGGTGCGGCGTGGAGGTTCAACTGGAGCTGAGCGAGTTCCTCGTCCGTGATCTCCGCGCCCACCGTGTAGCCACCATCGCCCGCCGCATCAACGCCGGCATCCAACATCTGCGTGTCGTTTGAGCTGTAGGAGTCGCGGAATCGTTGATACTCCTGGAATTGGTGAGTCAGTGCGTCGTCTTCTAGGATTGCAGTGCAGGTACTTACCAAATCCAACTGCTCCAGGGTCCTGCGAACTTGTTCCCACCCTTCCTTCCCGCCGACTGACAGCTCAAGAGGGAAGGAGAAGGCCTCAATGTCAATAGTGCTCATCGCCTAATGAGTGTATGCAGAACAGGGAGAGGATGCGCGGTGGAGAGCGGAGAAGAGCGGGGGTGCGAGTTGTGAGTTGAGAGCGGCACGCTCGCACTCGAGTATTTGTACGGTCGTCGATTGCCAATGTATAAGGTTCACACTACTACAGTCCATAGCCCTATGTGACAGCTCCCCTTCACGGTAGACGCTAACGCCACTTGACAGCTCTTGTTGTCACAGTGCATTGTTCGCCGAGCGTGGTCCACAGAGCTTCATTGTCGGCCACGGGCCCGAGCACGGCCCTCGGTGAGCGCGTTCACCGTACAGCAAAATGGTATGTTTACGAGCGCAGATGCCTGCTTGATATGCTAAAACTCGTACCTCCTCTGCGTCTACGTCTTACTGACGGTGTCGATGTATGTGAACGTCTACGAGAACGCGACGAAGACGGTGTTCGTCATGAACCACGCGACACCGGTGACGACCACGACCTTAAATCCCGTCCTGTGGGCCCCCCTTCATCGCGTAGCGGACCAATTCTACAATGAAATACTTGAAACTTTAAGCCAAAAGGTTACTAGTCAAAGGACAGAGAGCCGCAACTATCGAGCACCGATGTGAACTCACCGTGATGATCATGAAGCACGCAGTCGATTCACGCTGCAGCGTGCGCCGCGACTTTGGGCCTTGCCTCAGATCTTCATGTACATACTTAGTTGTATTTGAGTACACGCCAGCTAGACGGAGATGAGCCGTTAAACATAACTACCCTCCTTAGGATAGCTTGTCATTGGATATCTCGGGTGGCGACGTCAACAAGCGACAATAGCACACTCCGATAACCATTCTCGAGGGACCCAGACCTACCACGGACACTTCTACTTGGAGTGCGCTCTTTTCGGAGAACACGCGTGGTCGCTTTAGATCGCCCATCGACGAGATGACGCCAAGATCTCCACGTCTCCTCGAAGAAGATTCTCACCTGACCGCGTTTCAACCACTCGGCCTCGCGGCCCGACGTCTAAAACGCGCCCCGAACGCGCGCTCGCACTATTGTTCGCGAACTCCCAGCACAGCGTACATGCGCATCTATACTCTGGACATGTCAGCACCAGCTCTACGAGTCCAATCTGCTTCTATCCCGGCGCGATGCGCGTCCGACACGTGTACAGACCTCGATCGTACGTTGGGAAGCGCGGCGAGAAGGTTACAGTAGTCCGACCTAATGGAGAGGAATACATCTGTGTGGAGAGCCACACCGATATTGTACGTGAGTATTTCTAAGCCGCATGTAGGGTGAAGTCAGCCAATGACACTTCTCTCGTCTTTCTCTCGGAGAGCGCGCGTGATTGCTCTCAAGAATTCAAAGAGTATTAAGCCCACCGATGAGATACCGCGCAGACGATTCTCACCTGAAGATCTCAAGGGTCTATGTCGCGACTGTGGAAAGCTCAGGCCCAGTGTAAGCAATGCCTCATCCAGGCTGTCTTCTCCATACAGCTCTCAGCTGCACGCTCGAGCGCGTACACACCCCGAGGGCCAAGCTCTCCTATCATCACGTCGCGTCGCGTCGTTGTCTTCACCGACCCTAACCCTACCGTTGGCGCGCAAACATCAACTTCTTCAGACCTGTCAATAGTGAAGCAGAATCACACGCGTGCAGATCGACGTGAACACAGTGTCACATTGGGTAAGTACTAGGCTTGTACAGTAAGCTACTCGTAAAGAGGGTCGTCAAGACTCAGGGCAATGGTGGCAGGGTAGGAGTACATGAAAGACGAGAAACGACAGGAGATACAAGCGAGAGCGAGGCGGTTTTCATACCCTACCTAAAGCAGTTATAGTACAGTACCACAATCCACAACAGAGCAACCGGACCGAGTACACGAAAGCGCGTTACAGAGATCCACAATCCAAAGAAACACTTGTTGAACGACATTGAGAAAGCAAGACGCTCTGCGGCGCCTAAGCCCGAGCACCAGCCCAAACCCCCGGCTCCCCGAACCGCACCTTCTTCCTCCCGCCCCGCTCCCGCTCAACCCGCTCCTTCAGACTCTCCTCCCTCAGTCCCCTCTCCCTCTCCATCTCCCACGACCCAGACCCAGACTCGTACGGCCAAGCGCCCGGCATACCCCTAACAACCGCGTCCGCCTCATTGACCGCAGTCCTAGCGCGCTTGCGCGGACGCGAGCTGCCGTCGTCGACAGCCGAGCGCTTGGACTGCGTCTTGAGAATGGGACGCGGGAAGGGCGAGTGCGTGGGCATTGTGTCGGCGTCTTGTGGGTGGGGTGGGCGCGGGACGTTGGGCGTTGAGGCTTGTGTGCGGGCGACGGGGACGCCGTACGGGTTCTCGCGCGTGAAGGGGGAGTCGCGCGGGATTTCAGGGTACGCGGGTTGCCGGGGCTCGTTGGGTCTGTGTGTACGCGGTGCGAACCGGGATGGACGAGGAACGGCCGAGGGCGAGGCGCGAGGGGTGGCCAGAGGCGAAGCGCGGGCGGCAGCGGGTGAGCCGCGTAGGTTGGCCAGAGGACTCGGTACCCGCGGGTTACGCGCCGGAGAGGGATGGTTGAAGATCCTCCCAGGCGACGTGTGCCGGTAGACGCGAGAAGCGGGCGGGAGCGGGCCCGATACGCGGCTCGTGCGTTGAGGGAGAGGAGAGAAGTCGCGGGTGGTGCGTGGCGGCGTGTGAGGCGAGGGAGGCGCCGGCGACGGCTCCGAGGGTGGGCAGGGCTCGGGAGCGGGTGAACGGGCCGGGCCCGGGGTGGGTGTGGGGACAGCCGGGGTAGGGTTCCAGTGCATGATCGGGGGCGGGATGGGGGTGGAGGGGTCGTAGGCGTACGGGTGTGACGGCACGAAGAGACGGCCGAGTTCGTTCGGGTAGTCCGTCCTGTTTGGACAAATAAGTACGGTGGTCATGAAAGGGATATGAGAAGACGTACCTGGTCGTCAGCACCTCCGCGACGCGCTTCACCAGCTCGGCCATCTCGGCTTCGCCCGTCGATGTGCCGTAGACCGGGATCGCGAGGTCGGACAGAGCGCGCAGTGGGAGCGGCTGCAGGGGTGGCAGACGGTTTCCGGCGACAAAGGTGCCGTTCTCGGTGTACAGGTCGATGACGAGCAGCCCGTGCTCGGCATCGTTGTGCACCACCGCATGGTCCTCGGCTGTTGGCGTGGGTCAGTAGGGCGCCGAGCACGGTAAGACAGGTGAGGACATACCGACGAGGGGCGAGTTGAGGACAACGTCGTGGTACTTGGCACGCCCGATGCTGCACGTCGCACCAGAGAGGAAGGACTGGTTGGGCATTGCGGCGGGAGAGTGGCCGTGAAAGAGCTGGACGGCGGTGAAGGGGGGTGGTTGTGGTTGTGGAAGGTGAATGGGGGGAAAGAACAAGCAAAGATGCAGCCCTTCAACCACGTCGCCACTCGTTATGTACGATCCTCAAAGGGCCATTCCCGAGGTCCGAGTGGCATCGTGCCCGATCTTCCTTTGTTCTCATTTCTCCTTTCTCCTTTTGCTGTATTTTGTTGTTTTGTCCTCGAGATCACTATTGCGTAGTAGATAGACGATAACGGTAGCGCCATCGCACATTGCCTGTAGTCATCGAGTAACGCGTAAAGCTGGTCGTCGAGTGTACGCGATGGAAGGTGACGAGGGTGGTGGTTCAGTACACGCGTGCCACAGCGGTCCTCTTGTCCCGCTCGGGCCGCTCGCGTGGCTCTCGCGTGTGTTCGTGATCCGGCCTTCACCCCGGCGCGCTTGAACTTCACGTTGACTTCCAACCTCCATCTCCATGCTAGAAAGTATACTCAACCCGAGTTCAAGCCTCTGCGAGTGTGAACTCTTCGAATCATGGGCATCAGGCTGCTTGCTGATTGTCGCGTCCTGCCAGGGTCAACTTGCGAAGTCTACCCTGTGCCGCCCCCTCAAGAAAATTATATGCGCAGAGCCGCGCAAATCTGCCGAATTCAATGGCGAGCCTCTAGGACTAGCGCGCGGACGGGGTCACGCGGACGAGGCAAACGGCATGGCGAGCCCGATCGCTGTAGTGCCGTGGAGCAGATCACCTCTTCAAAGCTCTTCGCGAAGAGGGCCGAATTTGCGCTGGGAATACTCTCTACTATCACCAGACCATCGTCGTACAGGAGGCGCGCGATGTACTTCTCTGTGCAATAAATGGCATCTTAATACGAATGTAATGGCGATCGTTTAAGTCTATGAGCTTTCACCGGCTTCTCTTTCATGACAGTGTCACTTACTTGATTGGGTCACCAACAGACAGTCGGCCTGATCGTGAGCTTTCTGGTCTCGTCCAATGAGTTATTACTCGCTCCGGGTATACATACCACCGGTCTTTCGGCCCGTCGATCGAGCGCGATGCGCGAAATTTATGCCCGCCGGCGTGGCTGCAGAGCGACTGCAGACGTGACGAACAGATGGCCGTCAAAGTATGTTGTTCCGAATATGGTGGTCTTCATGCAATACATCTTCCCGATGACAGCGCCGACAGTTGCATTTCAGAACATCAGAGCACGACATATGACCCACGCGCCTATCTCCCAGCTTCTTTTCACGGCCGGTCTTCATATAAGCGAACACAGTACCTTTAACACAGCCATGCTCGCCCAAGTCTTCATCATCGCCGCCTTCTCCTTTGCACATGCCGCAACTCTCTCCGTGAGTCTGAGACGATATCTTACCAAGTCTTCGCTGACACAACGTTTGTACTACAGGTCGATACGCCCAAAGCGCCACTTGCCATCGTCCCATGCGGGCCCACCATAGTCACCTGGTCGGGCGGCACTGCCCCGTTCAATATTCGCCTGCTGGACGGCGCGCAGGACTTCATCGAGGAAATTAAGCAGAACGCAACGAGCAGTCCGGTACAGTGGACAGTAAACCAGGTCGGCGGCGCGATCCTCGTGTATTCCGTCAGTGACGCGACCGGCGTCTCAGCCGAAAGCGATCAGTTCGACGTTGAGTTCACGAACGACTATTCATGCCTTAGTGCAACGGCGTCTTCCAGCTCTACGACCGCATCCAGCTCTACGACCGCATCCACCTCGGCCTCGAGCAGCGGTACCTCCCCTTCATCCACTACGAGGCCTAATACATTGACATCGCCAAAATCCCGGACGGCACTGCCCTCGGGAACGATCGCTGGGATTGCTGTAGGCGCCGTCTGCGGTGTGTTGTTGGTAGCCGTGGGAGTTGTGTGGGGTGTGCGGCGCACGAGGCGAGCAGCATCGGCCATGATTGAGACACCGGACGAAGCAACGACGAGTGTGGAACCCTTCCCTTTGACCTGGCCGGGTATTCGTAGTCGGGAAAGGAAGAACAGACGGGGTCGCGCGTCCAGCACACCCGTGGAAGATACTGTGACTTCGGGCCTGTTGCCACCGACTGTTACAGAGGCGGCTCCGCCTGGTGCTGGAGAGCTCAGCGACTTGACCTTCAACCGCCTGGTTAACCAGGTGCTGCGAAGACTGCATGCACAAGAGGCTCCCCCTTCCTACCCCGCAAGTTCTCACCCTGGCAGTGACGCGTGCACTATAAGATCAGGAACGGCTGAGGTGCAGTCGTTCCATAAGCCATCTGCACGCTGCAGAATGGCCTAAAAGCAGTCGTGTTTGGTCAAAATCAGTCACCGGAACGGCTGCACCGCTGATGTGTGTCAAAATATCAGCCGCCCAATTTGCTCGATTGATGGTCAAAATCAGCCACTTATCAGCCCATTGGCTTGATATAAGCCACTTGGCGGCTTGCGTTCAGCCATTCTCGATCTTATAGTGGTGAATGTACTCAATTAGTACCCGTATCATCTAAATCCATCAAGCTTTGCATACGGCGGATGCTACTATATCTCGGGTGATCGAGTAAGGTGTAAAGCTAGTCGTCAAGCATGCTGCTGATACCCGCGAAGGTGGGGAGGGTGCTGGTACACTACACGCGTGCCACAGCCGTCCTATTACCCGGCCTTGCGACTCGCGTGGCTCTCGCGTGCGCAGTTATTCCGTTCCCCCGAACAGTGTTCCGCTTGCCGGAAGCCATAATGCTCACCAAATGCTCACCATGAAGTCTCTTCCACGGGCTCGTCAACTTCGCTATCGAATGCGGGAGCACATACTGAGGCAAGACTGTGCTCTCACGTTCACGTTCAAGAGCGATACCGCACAACTGCCATCATTGTCCCGCTCAATGCAAACTACGACTACACGCGTGTCGCTATCCTTGCTCACATGAGACTACTCTTCAACATCACGCTTGAGACTTATCTCGAGTAAGACAAGGAATATGACGGTCTTATTTTTGGACGAGGAGTGGGCCGGTTCTGATGACACACGCGCCGTCAACATCCACATACGGTCCTCGAGCATGATGCGAAATACTCGTGGGGATTGGAACACTCAGCGATGCGGAGGAACACTTGACGAACAGACCGTAAGTACTGAAAGTACAGTTGCGCAGTCGATGCTAACATATAGTGCTTCTCTTAAAGCCGTGTTAGGATAAGAAGTCCGTCGGGCTTGTGTTCGTCGATTCCAGACAACGGGAAAGAATCAGCGCGCCCATCTTCGCACATATAGAATGAGTGTGAAAGACACGATGGCCTTCACGCAGCCATGTTCGCCCGCCTATTCATCCTCGCCGTTCTCTTCAGCTTTACTGCGGCTCAAATCAACGTGCGTTTCACCAGTCATATTAATCAAACCTTTGCTCACATGTAAGCTGCACGACAGATCAGCACGCCTACCGGCTCGGGTGACCCTATTCAGTGCGAAGTTTATACTATCACTTGGTCGGGTGGGACTGCCCCCTACAACATCCTCCTGCTGGATAGCGGGAAGACCTTGGTCGAACAGATCGCGCTCTCGGCGACTCGTAGCCCTGTAACATGGGTAGTGGACCAGCCCCCCAACACCATCTTCGTCTTTTCCATCACCGACAAGAACGACGTCTCGGCCACGAGCGGCCGGTTCACCATTCTACCGTCCTCAGCGGAGAAATGCGCCGCGGCGGAGAGTGGTGCACGGACGACCGTTTTCGGACCATCTGCGACGGGCGCTGGCTCTGCCTTGCCCAGCTCGTCGAGACCTCTGTCCAAGGGCGCGATTGCCGCACTCGCCGTCGGCGCCGTTTGTGCTGTGTTGTTCGTAATCGGAGGCGTCGGATGGGTCGTTGTGCGGCGCTTCAGACGCGTGACGTCGGCTGTACTCGAGGAACCAGAGGAGACGATACCGTCAGTGCTGGTGACGACGGTAGAACCGTTTCCATTCACCACACCGGAGAATTTCACTTGGGAAAGGAAGAACAGGCAAGGCAACGGATCTAGGTCAGCTGCAGAAGCGAACACAGCATCAGGCGTGGAGGAAGTCGTGGATCTGGTGGTGGCTGCCGAGGCTCTGCCTGGTACTGGAGAGATCAGCGAAAGAACTGTTGACCGTCTGGTGAACTTAGTTCTGAGAAGACTGCACGCACAAGAAGCTCCCCCATCTTATCCTGCGAGTTCTCCGCCTGGTAGTGATGGATGAGCGCCCAGCACGGCCGTGCTGGCAATCACCTGTTTTGCGCATAGAGTATGTATACTACGATACCATGATACCAATGGTCGATACCCCACTCGATTGCATGAATGATATACGCCACGGCTATACCCACCAGTAGTAAACACCGACCAATTAAGGACGGGTATTATGGAAGCCGCAGAAGTTCCTTCATAAGGCCGGTATTTCTCGAGAGGCTTCGCAGTGCCTGTACTCTCTACGCTATGTTTTCAGTGGCGTTATACAGGCAGCCAGGATTTTACAGAGCGAATGGTACGGGTTGGCCGCTTGCATGGCTCTCGCGTGCGTCTGTTCCGGTCACTGATTCGTCCAATCTCTGACGCGCGTTCCAACCCCATTTTGATCCCAGACCACCACCATCCCGAGCAAAGCGTGCAATATGCTACTACCACCCTCTGCAATCTATGTCAGCCTCAGGCTATGGTAATGAGAATGACACGTGATCTGGACAGGCCGCCAGCAAAACTGCAGGCCCAGCGCGGCCGATCCTGATTCAGACCACGGGCTTGATCATGATGGTCGAGTTCGAAGTCCCGCTCGCTCGAGATGTACACACTGTCGGTCGTACGGCCCGGGTCTTCAATACGTGCACGAAACCTCGCGTGGATTGCGATGCTCGGGGGCGTGGTCGCAGACGTGACGAACTGACGGTTGTTGAAGTGCATTGTACTAAATGCGTTATGATTCATTCAATGCTCGTCCCCGAGAACAGCGCCGACAGCGTTACACGTCAAAACACCAGAGCATATCATGTCATCAACGCGTCTATCTTCTTCACTAGTTCTACAGGTTTCTACATATAAGCGAACGCAATGCCTTTCGCACCGCCATGCTTGCCCATTTCTTCGTCAGTGCCGTCTTCTCCTCTGCATATGCAGCAGCTTTCTCCGTGAGTTTAGAACATTGTCGCAATGAGCTCTCGCTGACACGATCTTTGTATTACAGGTTAATGCGCCGTCGACAGGAGCAAATGGTGCTATCCAATGCGAGGGCTACGAAATCACCTGGTCGGGCGGCACTGCGCCCTTCAACGTTAGCCTACTGGACAGTAATCGGAAGGTCGTAGAGGAGATCGCGACCTCTGCCACTAAATCCGTGCTGTGGACAGTGAACAAGCCCGCCGATAGGGTCCCCTACGAGTTATCCGTCACCGACGCGACCGGCGCCTCCGCCATCAGCGACCAATTCGACGTACAGTCATCCAACAACTCTGCATGTCTCGGCGCATCGACATACAGTCCTTCTGCGACTACCGTTGCGTCTATATCGGCCACGATCAGTAGCGGGCAGGGCCCTGCGACTACTGCCACTGAGTTCCGCTCAGCTTCTTCTGGCACTGCGTCGCCGAGCGCCAGCTCGTTCTCGCCGGGAAAGCCACAAGCACTATCGACAGGCGAGATAGCTGGAGTTGCTGTAGGAGCAGCTTGCGGTGTAGTACTTGTGGTCGGAGTTGTATGGAGTGTGTGGCGTTTGCGACGTGCGACGTCGAGCACGAGTGGCAATAGCTGGCATGAGGTGCCGTCGAGCGCGGCAGCGAGCGTGGACCCGTTTCCTCTGACGCGACCGGGGATGCTCAGCTGGGAGAGGAAGAGGAGACGAAACTTGGACGTCGACGCGACTACCGCAATTTCGAGGCATACTGCTGGGCATGCCGGACCACTACCGATAACTTCTCCCGAGGCTTTGCCCGGTAACGGAGAGATCAGCGAGACAACCCTCGACCGCCTAGTGAATCTGGTGCTGGGTAGACTTCACGCACAAGAGGCCCCACCTTCGTACCGTACGAACTCTCATTCCGGTAGTGATGAATGAAAGTATCCATAGAATATGTATATTCTGCATTACTCTCCACTGGCGCAAGCGTCGGTATTGCCATAGGCGCCGTTTGCGGTATTCTGTTGGCAATCACGGGCATCATGTTGCACAAGCGGCGCTCCGTGCGAGTCGCGTTGAGAGCCGAGGCCATGAAAGAAACGGCGACCACGGTACTGATGCCTGTAGAACCATTCCCTCTGGTCCGACCGGAGTCCTGGCCACCGGGATCAGGAGAAGGATCGAGTCCTCCTGACGGCTGGCAGAGGAAGGAAAGACAAACCGACGGACTCGACACAAGCGTGGAGGACGCCACACACTCTGCGCTCTCTCAGGCACCTCCTGGAGAGAGGACTCCGTCTGGTAGTGACGAACCTAGCGAGACGAACCTCGATCGGATTGTAGATGGTCCAGAGCTCAGCGAGAGGAATCTTAATCGCCTAGTGGACCAGGTTATGATAAGGCTGCAAGCACAAGAAGCTCCCCCTTCTTACCCTCCGAGTTCTCATCCTGGAAGTGATGAATGAATGTACTCTACCAATACCCCTTTCTGCATGATCATACCTATCACTCTACACATTTTTCTCACTCGAGTACATCAAATCGTGATCACACTGAAACGTTTATCCATATCAACTTCTCGCTCTTGAACGGTTTTTGCTGAACTCCGAGATAAATGCGCGACTCGGGTGCATCTGGGAGTGCATACAGCGCTTCTTTGACGAGTACATGGGCGATAGCGATACATGGTCTGCAACTGAGTCTTGACCTGTATCCCTTGAAGAAGTATAGCTTTTGGTGTGATATGCCTCAGGAGAATGCAGAACTCGCTCGCACCGAGTCGCAGCTGGGGGACAACTCTGAGCCCCGCATTCGTTATGTGGTCGATCAACACGACGGGTTGTATTCGGGCACGTTATCGATTGTATTGAAGTGATCAGCGAGCGCATAAATGGCGTTGCATCAACTTCCAGCGGCGGGAGAAGCTGATGAGGCGTTGTGAGTACACGAGCGAGCAATGTGCTCTTCCGCGCGGCCAAAGGTCACATTAGCAGGTAGACCACCCAGCCTGATCCTTTGCAGACGACGCTAACCTCGGGTGTGCTCACTGGGGGGCTCCTCGTGATGAAAGAGCTAGAGTGGACGTTGTCTCTGAGGAAGTGCATATTCGCATCTGGCGCTGATGCGACTTACATCCGTGCGAAAGGTCTAGCTTGCTCGATGCAGTGATCGGGTCCTGTTCAATGCATGTATTCAGAGCTTAAGGATCCGGTTAGACTATCATATTCGACTACTAGCAGGCGGAAGACGTCAGCTTCCTACTTTCCCAGCAACCGGCTTATAAAGTATAGGCGCGGTAAAAGAGCGATACGGCCTTCACGCCGCGGCCATGCTCGCCCGCCTGTTTCTCTTCGCCGCCCTCTCTGTCCTTGGAGCTGCGCAAATCACCGTGCGTTGCGTGTTGTTCAGCTCAGTGAAGTCCGGCTGACGAGACGATCACAAGACAGATCGACGCACCTACTACGCAAGTAGCTGCCATCCAGTGCGAGGTCTACCAGATCATTTGGGCGGGCGGCACTGCTCCCTACGAGATCCATTTGGAAGATGGTGACGGGAAGAACTTCATCGAGGAGATTGCGTCCTCCACAAGTGGCAGCTCCATAACGTGGATAGTGAATCAGCCTGCCGGCTCGATTCTCAGTTTCGCTATCCAAGATGCAGCCGGCGTTGTGGGCAGCAGCAGCCAGTTCACGGTGCAGATGTCCACCAATAGCGGATGTCTCAACCCATCGGCGAGCGAAACTTCTTCGACCCCCGTCAGCACAACCATGGCTAGCAGTACGGATGCATCCAGAACCAGCTCGACCACCTCAAGCGCTTCTTCTCTGCCACCATCGAAGTCCAGCGTTGCATCGCCATCCGCGAGCTCCAGCCCAAAAGCATTGTCCGCGGGCGCAATTGCTGGAATCGCCGTGGGCGCGGCATGCTGTGCTCTGTTGATTCTTGGGGGAGTTATGTGGATCGTGCGGCGGCCGTCGAGACGAGTAGCGTCCTCCATTCACGAGAGTATCGACCCAACGTACGAGGGACCGACAGATGTGATGACGAGCGTGGAACCGTTTTCTTTGGCCGAGCGGGATATTCAGTTTTCGGGGTCGCCTGTCACCGGGTCCAGTACTCCCATCGATTGGGCACGGAAGGGCAGACACGATAGTGGCCTCAGCATAGCCACCCGGCGCACCGTGGAGGGTATCGAGCAACCTGGGCTGCCGTTGTCTTCTGGGGAGTCAGGTCCGCCTGGAAATGGAGAGCTCAGCGAGACGAACCTGGATCGCTTGGTAGATCAAGTACTGAGAAGGCTCCATGCACGAGAAGTTCCTCCCTCTTACCCTGCGAGTTCTCAGCCTGGTAGTAATGAATAAGTACATTCTGTGTATGTCATACGCACGACGTACATGTGCCAGATACTGATCATCGCGTCTGCTGGCTGTTTAGCCTAGAGGACGACTGGCGTTCGCTGTGGCGTTGATAAATTGTGATGACGAAGAGGCGATCACTGATTCGTGATGTCGAGTTGGAAGGATGTTGAAAAAGGCAATTATCATGCGGCTTGTCCGCGCTTATCGAGTGCACGTTCAGGTTCATCGACCGCAGCTCAGGTATCGATGCTCGGCGTGCAGTTCATAGAAGAACAGATGATGGAGAGGCGCGCTAAGGGCGCCATAGCATCGATGAAAAGCCATGATGCATGAAGGGCGCCTACATCGATGGACATGGCCGGATGGGGTAAACAACGCGCGTCTCTCAGATGAAGAAAGTTATTCAGGGCGGGACACAGTCGAGCCGTTCAGCGTGTAGGTGGGGTCGCGTGTACCTATACAACGAAGGCAACGAGTGGGAGAGAAGACCGTGGTTGCGTACACGGCTTAGTGAGGGACGACAAAGCTGGTCAGAGAAGAAGGTTGGGTCGACCCTATGCCGTATTGAGCGTTCGACTTCGGCAATTATCCCACGGCTAATAATCCGTCGCTGCTTTCCGCGTTCCTCCGAAACTTCGTTCTCTGGACTTTGTGTATGTGCAACTTGGTAGGGGAGCATGACTACTATGACCCACCGAAAGGGCGTATTTCTTATCTTGCGGGGAGACGAGAGGGGAAGGGGAAAAGGGCGGGGAGAATGTATCAGAATAGGGGTTCATGTGACTGGCCGGAAGAGAACGCGCGCTGAGAGATTCGGGATCGAGAACAAGCCAACTTGACCTTGCCCCCCTCTCTCCCTCATACCACCATAACTGATTTCGTGATTCGGCTCACTACATCTCGCTCGAACTGGCTCTGTAATTGCCACAGTAAATCAGCGTACCGATCTTAGCCGGTCTTCGACCTGGGATTTCAGCCTCCGAGTCTACCCGGCGCTCGCCAATTCAGCTTGTTTCCCCCTCCCATCTACTCTAGCCACCGGTAAGTGTTCTATTCGAGCGAAACCGTGTAACTGGGACGAATTGTGCAGGCCGGGATCTGAGATGCAGAGCCGCCTCGCCCCGTTCGCCCCAACACCGGTCATAAACACTGCTACCCGCGGCTCCTCCCGACCAGCACCCAGGCCTGACCACGCCCAACTTGAACAGATGGTTGCCCGCTCGAATATAAACATGAATTATGGGATCAATCCCATCCAGCCATCGACCTCGGCAGCCGCCGCAGCAGCCGCCGCCGCATTCCGCGCCCCGGCCCACAAGCACGCCCACCACCTACACTCAATTCCCCCACGCGAAAAGTCGACTCGGACACTGATCATTGATCAATTACTATGGGCGCACGCACGAACGCGCTTTGCACAGGCCCGTGCAGAGCTCGCCATGACGGACCGGACCGGTGGACGCGGTTCCCCACGGTACGCGCATCGCGAGCGCCCGGAACGCTACGACGAGGACCTTGAGGCGGGATCGGACGGCGAGGACGCATCTTCATTGCGCGCAAGGGACGGCGGGCCGGGTCACCCGCACGATGAGGAGGAAGACGATCGACTCGCGCGCCAAGATCTCAAACTCGCACATGCGCTACGGCTTCGTGCTCAAGGACTTGAGAAGGTCGTTGCCGGGATGCTCGCACAAGCGCCCCTCGATATTCCATTTCCTGAAGATGAGCCAGTCGTACCGGCATCTTCCAGCTCGGATAGTGGCGACCCAACACCGCCGCGACCACCGCCACACAAACATTTATTGCCCAACGGCGTTCGTCTCCGCATCGCACTGGCTACCGTTGTCAACGACCTGTTTGCGCGTCAGGCGCCTACGCCCAGGGAGATTGCATCCAACGCACAGACGCCTGGAAGCATCGCAACGCCAAGGAGTGGCGACAGTCCCGATTCTCCCCGAGTGGCGTCGACTTCCGCCAGTGCCAATGTGCTTCCGCCTGCACTCTTGCCTCTCTTGACCGTCTCCCATGCATTCCAACAACAGCACCCATACCCATCACCCGGTCAGAATGTAAGTCCCATTTCCGTATCTAAGCGCCCATAAATACTGAATCAGGATTGACAGTCATTTTATGCCGGTCAATCTCAATACCAGTCCCCTGCATCACCCTTCGACTTCTCTCCCCGACCAACAGCGAGACCCACACCAACTCAGCGCACGCACACCCTCTTCGCAGCCGGAACAGATCCATCAACAGCTAATTCTCCGCCATCTCTCCGCTGCCCGCGACACCTCCACACACAATGTATGATCTGCGTCGATGTACGCGAAGCGCCACCCCCACGACCGCGCGGTTCAGGTGTGCTTCCTCCAGGACGCGGAAGGGAACCGATCATGCAGGGTGGCGGGTTGACTGGGTTCAGCACTGGCACCGGTGTCGGATCCGGACTCGCCCGACGCGGTGGCGGCGACGTATTGCGGCGGGCGCCTAGGATTTATGATGATGGCGGCGGCGGCACCACTCCTGCTGGCGGCGCGCGGCTGACTGAACTTCTGCCGAGGTTTCTGAGACTCAGCGCGCTCGTCGCTACTGAGCTTGGCGAGGAGACTGGCGCGCGGACACCTGTGAGGCCGGCCCCTGGGTGGTACATGCTACTCGCGGGCTTGTTGACGCGTGCGACGCTCGAGGGATACTTGTTCGCTGGATGGAGAGGATTGAAACCTGTTGAAGTGTTGTTTGGTGTCGGCTTAGGGTTCCACGAAGGGGAGTACGCTGAAGAAGATGAGGGCGAGCTGGAGAATTGGCTACTACCTTTTGAGCCAGAGGGCATGCCGCGTCTCCGTGCTGCGTTACGCGTCCTGTTCCCAGTGCACGCCTCGGCCTTGACATCGTCGAATTCCTCAGCATCGTCGACTACAGATGCGGTGGCGCGCGAAGAGGACGAAGATGAAGCGTCTTACGAGCGCGAGATGCGTGCTCGCTTGGCCCGCTTTCTCGACGTACCCTCTGGCACACCCGACCTCAGTACACACATGGAAGACCTGGCGTGGATGTTCCCCGCGGAGCCCGTCGAGCGTGCGGCATTACGGTTCTGCGAGAGCCTGTCGAAATGGCGTGGCAAGCCTGAGCTGGAGACCTATCGCGCACGACCGCCGAGTAGCGCGAACGGTCCTGCACCCACGCCTAGTGCGCCCGCAGATGAAAATGTCTGGAGGGGAATCAGGAGGTGGTTCAAGATCCCGCCGCCGAGCGTCATGGCGGAGCGTGCGCGTGCCAACAGCGCGAGTTCATCCAATGCCAGCAGCACGAATTACAATGCACGACCACCGATACCGCACTTGAACACGTCCGGTTCATCTGGACTCACTGGCATGATGGGATATGGCGGGATGATGCAAAGCCCCGGCGCGCTGCATATGCAGGGCTCGCCGCCCTTCGGGTTCGGAGGTGGGGATAATCCGAGGAAGAGAGCGTGGGATCAAAGCGGGCTGCAGGTGCCCGAGAGTGTACCGCCTAGGCAGAGGATCAGGCCTGCTGGGCCGAGTGCGTTGCGCTAGTCGCAGCACCCACCTATCATTGACTTTTGTCATCGCAGTGTGCTCAGGTATGAGCTTGACCTCACCCTGCGCCGCCAGCGTCCAAGCGTAGGAATCTCAGGACTGTTTTTGGACTCTGGCCTGTCGTTAGTTCTGCAGACATGGACCGGATATCTCCCAGTCGATTATCGCACGTACTCAGTACTCATCCATCGTCACTCGTGCTTTACACCCCGTCACAACCACTCGCGCATCCTCTCACCATCCAATAGATTGTCCATGTATCATATAGTTGTGCTCTCCCCTCTCCGTGCCGCTCTTCTCAACCCCATACTCCACGCCGACCCTTTCGTACTCAGGACCGCCGCCGTAGCTACCTCTTCTCCCCCTCTTCACCGCGTCATACTCGTCGTTCGCGTCTTCGTTCTCTCCGTCGCTGTTATTTCGTCCTCAGTGCTGTGCCGGTATAGTCTAGTCTCGCCGCGCTCGACTGTATGTGTGTTCCTTGCTATTCGCTGTATCATGTAGTACTCCGTTACCGTCATTTCTCCTCCCCCTGCTCAATGCACGTCCTTCGGATCTCCCTACGCATTATACTTATTTATTCATTTTGGAACTCGAGTCATTCAGGCAACAACATCCGGGTGCGATCGCGTAAGAGATCGTGTATTTCAGCAATGAGCGGCACGTGGGAAATCATCTTATGCCTTCTCGGTGCCAGCCGCGCCTCTTGCTCTCTTCCGCCACCTCAATCGCTCTCGCCCTCTGTCCAACCCGGCAAATCTCGGGCTGTGCCGTTCTCGAATTTCGCTAGTGTCAACGCCAGTCATCAGCTCTGGAGGGCAGCTTTTCGCTGCGGATGCATCGCTATTCGACGAACTTGACGCCATGGCCGACACTTGCATCATAAAGCCTTGTATGCAGACCAACACAGTCAGCCCAACATAGTCGACTTGATGCTATGTCAGGAGACTTACTACGAGTCTGCCTGCGTACAACACGCTGACTGCCGACGCGAAGAGGACGAACAAAGCAAACACGCCTCGTGGCGCCCTCGCTCCCACGCGACGCAATATCTAGCCACCGTCCATTGTCTGTGGCCGAGACCGTCCTAACTCCTCAAGCATGACTGATGTGCGATCTACAACCTTTGTGTGGTTGACCCGGGCGGCCTTTATATTCCTGCGCTCTCGACAAGCCCGATCCTTTCAGTACCACCACCACCCCGAACACAGCTGAACGCGAACGCCCTTGCCCTCACCCGACTCCTGCAACGCACGATGTCCGCTCCTATTCTCGGCAGTCAGCATATCGATATGCATGGCAAGATCACCGTCGATCTTGGTTCGTCCGGACGGCGCAATATACCTGTATATCGCGACATGACGAAGGTCTCCTTCGGCCGCGGACAACACAACGATGTTGTTTGCGACGATGAGTACGTTAGTGCGTAACTTCTCTCTCATTCGTCTCGATATACTATGGATCCTGATGCACGATCTCAGGCTACGAGCACGCCGCAATGTATTGGTGTCCGTGGTCTTTACACGTGATGATTGTCGACCTCAACAGCACAAACGGCACCTGGGTCCACGGCCATCGCCTCACGCCGATGAAGCCAATCAATATCGGCGGTTTCTTCACTATTTCATTCGGTCATGCGCTACAGAATCAAGTCACAGGAGAGATGGACCGTGGACCGTGGACGGCAGACTACGGGCTGCTGCCGGAAGATCAGCTCAAGGCAGACTGGTTGGAGTTGGCCTGTGAGCAATTAGATGACCCCGATATTCGGACACCAACGGGGGGGATGAGGCTGCAGATGGTACTTGCCGACATAAAGGCTCAGCGGTACGTCTCCCATGTACTATCGCAATGTGAATAGACCCTGACGCATCTCCTAGCGCACCTCCCACTCTTGATACCTTCGCGGATGACCAAGACAGTGACTCCGACGCCACAGTGGTTCCCGACTCAACCACATCCCTCGGCCCGGAGCGGCCCGCTACCCCGGTCCAACCAGTTCCCCCGCCCTTTTCCCCCGATTACGGTCGCGGTCTGCGCCGGGAGCCGCCAATCCATCTCAACTTTGGACCGCATCCCGAGTCACGCAATGTGCGCGACCCTAACCTGATCTGGTCATCGAACTGCACATATATCCGGCCAAACGACGACGATGACGGCCGTGTTCCGCCGTACGTTTACGAGTGGTCGCACAAATACGGGCTTCCGCAGGGGTTGCACCCTGAGTGGAACGAGTATGCCAAGGATAAGTTCTACGGAAAGGATGTCAACATCAACCTCGAGCAACGTATGAATGAGGCGGAAGAAGCGGTACGGAAGTACGAGCTCGAAGTCGCCGCGGATGCTCGCCCGAAGGAAGAGGAACAGACGGTTGGCGAGGCAACGCAAACGGCCGAAGCTGCAGCCGTCGAGATCTCAGACCTCGACTGCTCTACAAAACGCAAGCGCGAGACGGAGGTTGAGGATGGCGACGACGACGCGAGGGATAACGACGACGAAGCTCGCAGCAAACGGCACAAGGCTGGGACCGATGTGCCGCCCCACCCTGGCAGGTTCGCTGCTGCTCCCCAATCCGTACTCCGACCGATGCGTAGCTCCCATGTGGTCGAACCGTATATCCGGGACGATACGCCCTCTATGCCTGGTGCATGGGTCGAACCCGCGACGGACTTCCTGGAGCAATACTCGCCGTTTGTTGAAGATCCCGATTGGATATTTGTCGAGGTTCCTGTGATACCCGGCGACGAGGCCCAACCGACCCGATCTTCTCCTCCATCGCCACGCCCCGCATCTTCCCGCCCGAATAAGCAACTGCGATTTGCTGAGGAGGTTCTATATGCTGGGAGAGTAGTGGGTTGAACGTGTGTTCTTCAAGTTTTTGGGCAGTATGTAGCAACATTAATTGCCTCGTCCCCAAATCTTGGCGCCTTGTATCTTCTGTTCAAATACTTTCTCTACCATCCTGTCTCTCGCAAAGCATGTGTAGCACTTCTGAAACTCTTAAAGCATGCCTCGAAACCTGGCATCGAGCTCTGACGCGTACCTCTGCCGTATACTTTCGCGTTCGTGAGAAAGCTGAAGCTGGCCACGAGGCTCGAGTCTTGCTTTTCGTTCGCGCACGGTCTACTCCCAACCCCCACCGTCATCTTGTATCGGCGGTATGGTGCACAAACGCTCAGCGTATCTCATCGGAGACTGTCGATAGTGTTACCAGGATAACGCGTGCTGGCAACGGCAACAGAACTTGAGTCGTATGCGCTCGTGGCGGATCCTGGTCCACGACGTCGTGAAGTTGACTGGCTTGTGCTCTCCCTTCCCCCATTCGATGAAGGTTCCATCCCGTGGTGCTCCCTGACGTTGTTCATCAAGGCAGGGTCTCTGAACTGTATCCGTGACGTGACAGTGATCCTCCTTCTACGCCTCTCGTCACGCCCGTATACAGAGCACGTACGTTACGCATTCATCCATCAGTTGAACAGAGAGAAGACATAGGCGTATCGGAGTTGTCGGACGTGCGGAAGAGCTCAAGAGCGTCGCGTGCTGAGCGCGGCGTGTGCTGTGTGCGCTTCTGCTCTTCGAGATGTGGCGTTCTATCTGTTGGTGGCTTTGGCACGTACATGTCCCTGCGTCTCAAATGTTCCTTTTTTACGTCCCAACAGCGCTTTATGTCGACCAGTACGCGCTTCCGAGTCCTTGCCACGCCTCAAATATCTATCTTCGCACCGTGTTGTCAATGCGGCGTTCCAAAGGACCTTATAAGACATGCCGCTTGAACCCGAGCGCAGGAGATCGCAGGTTACTGTCTCCTGTTTGCTCCGAACAGTATCGCGAAAAGACCTGATCCGAGCTTCTACGCTCGGAGCAGCATCTCTACAGGGACACTCGTGAGTACGTTACTTCCTTTTTGGGCGGTCGCCGCTGCCTGTGAGATTCTTGCACGCTCGGGCGACGTCGCCGCCGCCGCAGTTGTACACTTGTTTGCCTATATGGGAGCTCTGGCCCTGGCGAGGTGACGCCCTTTTGCTGTGCTCCCTCTTCTTCGACCATTGTTCGTCATATCCTGGATCCACCTTTATTTCTGTCAGCATGCCGCCACAGCTCAGTCAGCCATCGATGAACATTTTAAGCTCTTCAGAAAAGAGCATCTAGTATTCATCCTTCTTTCGCTTCGCGACGCTCGAGTGCATGCTCGGCACGCGACCCTGGTCCTGTGAGCATAGCAACCTGCGCATCTGTTCGACATGTCCCTGTGTCGGCGAGTTGTTTATCGGCGTAGTCGATGATGTCCGCATCAAGACAAGCTGGGCGGCTCAGGGTGGCGATCCTTTACGGCTCTTACGACACCAGAGACCACCAACCCAGACGCAGCGAGTAGGTTCACCGACGTATCAGCGACCAGTTCACCCTGGGCAAATAGCTTGGCCCCATTCCTATTGAATATCTTGCCGCACATCCTGCGACAACGCATCTTCGGTCAAAACCTGAGCGACAAAAATGCAAGGGCTATCAAGCCGTAACAGGGCTTCCAGCGTGTGAGGCCCCTGCCACAAACGTATCGGTCTGCGCATCTCAAACTTCCAGACGTCATTGAGACTCCTGAAACCGACGTCGCCAGCTTCTTCATGTCGGAGCAGGTGGCCACCAGGATGCGAAGAATGGCGAAGTTAATGCTGCAGGTCCGATACGACCCTTAGTGAGCAACATGTGATAAGTCATACTAAGCATCGCTGCCCTCTCTTGCTGTACTGCACTCGTCGAAAGAGAGAGGGTTTGAACCATACGATGCTAATTGTAGATCGGAGGAAAGGAGCGGGACCTCGGAGAGACGCCGAAGCCGCGCGGGGAAAATAGGGGCATCGGGCCCAACAAGTCTGCATCGCATCCTCAGCGCGCACCTGCGGTTGGCTCGTGCCATTTTGTTTCAGGTACCAAGTCTGTAGGTGCATGAGGGCGCGCGGTCTCCTGCTCAGTCCGTGCCGTACCCGCAGAAGGAGGTCGGAGAGTATAAGACTGGCGGAGGCGCCGCGCCTCCATGGCCCCGCTCACCCACAACCCACGAGCGTGTGTTCCGCCGGCTGATGCCATTGCGCACTGCTTCTTTGAGTCCCTGCTAGCCGTACCTCCTGTTGCTTCCGACCGCCATGACTGTCATGACGAAGAAGAGTCTGCTTTCGGACGAGCCGACGAATATTGTTCACCAGCCGATAACTATCGGCCATGTGTGAGTACTCGCACGTACGCGTCTACACGGGTCATTGATGCCTGTTCTGGACAATAGCCAGCTTAGGGACCTCATCATCTGCCCAGAAGAGCGTGGAATTGTAAACTTCGTACACGACCGGTCTATCGTGGAAAGGGACGTTAGAGACCCATCGTCAGTGAGTGGCTCCGAGAGGCCTCGTCCGGCGTATCTCGTGCTCACAAACACTATCGCAGTCTCAACGGACCCTTGCCGCTGTCAACTTCGTACCAAATACTCTCGCCTCGCATATATTGCCTGATACTGGGGAGTGCCTACTTGCGGCAGGGGGTCAGGAGTCTGAATTACATCTATCACTCTACTCTCGGAACGACGGAAGTGGCGGAGGAACGCGACGACTTTGGCGCTCGGACAGTGTGCTCCCTGGATCCATCAACAACTCGCTCCTCCTGACGACCCTATCTCTCACCCGCTCGAACCAAAGCGCAATCGAGCCCCGCATCGTGGTCTCGAACAATGACCATACCTGCAAGGTGTGTCCTTGTCAGTGAACATTCTTGATCTTGCCGCTAAAGCATCCCACGATGAAGTTCTTCGACGTCAATGTGCGGGGGGACGCCACTTCGTCAAGACTCACGCAGACCGGCATGCTGAGGCTCGACGACCCGGTCAATCACTCATCAATATCGCCTGACGGGAGGACACTGCTTTCGGTTGGCGACTCGCCATACGTGTATCTGCACGCCCTCACTGGTGGTGCACGCATCACCTTCTCGCCGCTCGCACAACTCCCAATGCCCACATCAAATTCGCCCGATACCACCTCATACTCTGGCGGACCTGCATCCTTCTCGACTGCTTTCTCGTCGTGCGGGACCAAGTTCGCTGTCGCGAGTCAGGATGGCATGTGCGCTGTCTGGGACGTGCGCTCTACGAAGCCCCTCCGCGTCTTCCATACGGACCGCACATCCGAGTCCTGGTATGATGATACATGGGACCTCACCCGACCGGGAGGGAAGGCACCTGGATGGGGTGTGCGCAGTGTAAAGTTTAGCCCTGCGGGCCGCAATGGCAAAGAAGTCTTGACATTTACCGAGGTGAGCGTCTTATCACCCGCATTTGACAGGCGTTAACCGTTATTCGCAGCACACCTCTCGCCTCCATGTAATCGACGCCGCAACGTTCGAACAGCACGATGTCATACCTGTACCTGCTTTGATACCCGCCAACTCGACGGCGCAATCTGCGGTGCCGTCCATCAATACCGAGTCCAGTTGGACATCACCGACTTTACCCACTCCTCGCCCCGCGCCGCGAGTATACCTTGCCGGGCCCGAGTACACCGGCCATCTCACACCCACCTCTGCGCGTACGGCGACCATTTCCCCAGCACGCGCCGCCTACCTACGAAGACAATCCGCGCGCTTTGACGACGACGACGCGTCCCTGCTTGTTCACGTGCCGCCACTCGGAGACCGCGGGGCTGAGCATGACGTTCGAACTGTGCTCGGACGCCATGGGGTACGGACGGCGGACTCCGCAGAAAGGGAGTTTGTGCATCGTCAAGAATACGACCTGGGCATGGATGTTGAGATGGAGATCGAGGCGGAGCCGCACGAGGAGATCGACGCGATGTCAGAATGTGCTTCGCGCGTGCCCTCTCGCGCGGCATCCCCTTCGCCGACGCCATGGCGCTGGCCTATAGCGCACGAGCAATCCCCGATACTCGAGCGCGCGTCCTGTGCTGCCACCAACTCGTATACCCTCGCTACCCCCCGTCACCTCGACATCGCCGGCACCTGTTTCGACCCTGAAGGACAACATGTCTACGTTGGCACGAAGACCGGCATCGTCGAGTGGTCGATCCGTGGCGCAGATAAGGTCTGGTATAGCGGTTCATCGTGGGCATGACAAACCAGCTTTGTCCGTCGTTATTGCGACCCTCTTCTCCGTGGAATGGGATGGATCTGACCAGCACTTTTGTATCAATACTGACTCCCGGCTTGGCCATTCTCTCACTTTTGTACTTGTATGTGTAAGTTCGACCTCTTTGCGCAACCCCCCCACGCATCATTTATGACTACCTCTACACGCATCCCTCATGTCCAATCTTTACGACCTACGTATATCAGTACTCCTTCCATTCAAAGCACATAAGCTACTGGCGCATCAGCAGCATCAGCATGAAACCGCTCCGAAGCACAATATTCTGGCTGCACGAATGTGACCATTGTGACCCGACGTGTCAAAGACGCGTGCGGCAGCGCCTCACCATTCCTGCTTTCGCCCTCATTCCGATCTTTTTTCAATGCAGCTTCCATCCTCCTCACAAGTGCGAGCAGAGTCGCCAGTTTTCCATCGCTTGGCGGTTTGCCTGGTATGCAATGCACATTGACTTGGCCAGGCGCGGCAGGTAACTTACCATACCGCGACGTTCCAGCCGCGCAAAGCAAGAGCGACATTGCATGACGACACGTGCGCAAACGAAGTAGAAGACAAGTACATTATTACAAAGGTCCTGATAGAATACGGTCCGACCAGAGGTACAGGCAAACATGCATCCCGTCTTCAAAATCCCATTGCCATCTGCATTCTCCACTGCTTGCAGGACTGGTTCTGAACGGCGCGTATATGGTCAGTCAGTTCTGACAGACGGCGCGCATAGGTGGTCTTCAGGGTGCGTCCATCAACGATGAAGTTCAAGCTCTTGTCGTCCATAGTCTGACCCATGATCAAGCGGGCCCAGAGCGCCTGCAATCCGTCTTGTACGCCCTGATACATGTGCGCCTTCTGACCGCATCCCATGCCTCGAGCCACTACATAGAATGTAGGGCGCGTCGCATGGATGCAGATAGGCTTCCAGGTGCGCGTATCAGCGGCAAGGGCGTCGAACATGAAGAGCAGACGCTTCGTATTAGGATCATCGACGTTGTTTAGCTTCACGACCATGGTCCCACCATAGCGGATGACGGACAAAGCGATGACGAGTTGCGATATCAGGAGACGATTGCCGAGGATGTGTAACTTTGGCACACTGGGACCAGCAGCGTTTCTCAAGGCGTGACCATCTAGGAGCACAAGGGCAAACCCATCTGGGTGTGAGGACGGCGAGAACGGCAAAGGGTTATATGCTGCTGTGTGAGGCCGAGCAGGGCCGAGTTGGTACTTCGTCACGTCCGCCCAGATGAGATGAAAGCGTGACTGTAGGTGTTCCTCCAGCAGGAAAGGGTGTCCGCCTCGAGATTCCTCGAGCGATATACCCGTGCCCTCTGCCTTTGGATTAGCGTCCAAAATGTATGAAGAAAAGCCTCCAGGGCAACACCTGTCTCAGGGGTAAGCTATCGAGTCACCGACAACCCAGGGTGACCACATACCCTATATCTAGGAACTCAAACCCATCGGGAGACTGGGTAAGCCTGAATACATCGTCCATCTCCTTGAAGGCTAGCTTCATGGAGTTGAACCAGTTCAGTTGCAATTCCGGGTTGGTACTCGATGCATCCGCAAGCTTTCGTTGGTGTATCCTCTGGGCTTGTTCCTAAGAAGGTACGTATGAGATTCCTGCGGGTAACTTCTGAAGAGCTCTTACCAGAGACACTTGAATGCGATGGGAGGACATAGTGTGCGGAAGGGTGGAGGTCGTAGAGCAAAGGAGGGTTGCCACAGAAGCGGCTTGCGTGGGAGTCCCTTATATGCTGCCGCTTAGAGAAGTCCTACAAGTGGCGTGCGCGCTTATGTCCATACAAAGGATGCTCACTTCGTTCCCTGTCATCGCCCTTAAACTCAAGTGGGGGTGTACCACACCGCATGTAGAATAAGCTTCGTCTGAGTGCCTTGTGCGAGGATCACCGTGGACGCCGGGACCGGTGCAAGAAAGGGGCTGACCCAGCCTTTATACGCCGTTGGTGAAGGAGACAGACGATATATGCCATTGGATCTAGTCATTGGAGTAACATATGTACTCTTCTTCTGCAAGCAGCAGGCCCTCATGCTCTGACTGCGAGTGTGCATGCCGACGTCTACGTCCCGTCAGCTATTTATTCCTGACATATCACCACCCAGCACCTTTCAGCAAAGCAGAAGTCAATGCGTATTCCACAAGTACAAGTTGCCGTGAAGCCCGTCTGTAGAATGTGCATGGTTGAACAGGCTCCCTTCGAAGAGCTTACTACGAGGATGTTTCGTTCACAGCTGAGGTGCTTTGGCGTGATGAGTCAGATACGCACGCGCAGGAGATGTAACCATGACGCAAAGATGATGCGCAGCGGTCTGGTATCTCTCGAGAGCAAAATTGGAGAACTTGGGACTCGTGGCGGTCGGGAAGACAAAGTCGAAACGGGCTATCGGGTATATGAGCCGGGTCGGAAAGCCGACGGCCATCACCGAGACGTTCCTGCGACAGTAGGATGGCGCTCCAAAGAGAGAATCTGCAACCTCCTTCTTGACCAATGAAGATAGAGAAAGTTGACGCGGTTCGCCTGTGAACTGACCGGCAGCTGTAGCCATCTCGAACGAGGGTTGGGATGCCATGCACTAGTACGAGGACCCTCTCGACTCAAATCTCTATCCAAAGCACTCATTATAGCAGGGTGAAATAGGTCTGACAGTGTAACGGCTAGCCTGCGTGCGTGTCTCGCACTCGACCGCGTGAGCTGATCGCTGGACCAGGCGTCGTACTGGAATCCGCGCATCGTGAAAGGAAGATACACGATCTCCCTAGTAGGGGCATACTACTGATACTGTACGCCATAATCAATCCACTCCTATCAGATTGACGACAACTCCCATCGTTGGAACTCGAAATGATATTCGATTTCATTGGGTCTATCTCCCCATCGGACTGAGATCTTCTGTCCGCCTTCTATAGGGCACACGGCACCCATTGCAATTTCAGCGTTATTGATCTATGAGAATGATTGAGGATCTCAAGAGCCTTTCAACTACGGACAGGAAAGAGACGTACAGATACCCGGGGGCTATCTTGATTATTGTATCGCTCCACGGCATAGTGCCCGACGTTGTACGTGCAACGATAATGAAACCTACAGATTTCTGTCATTGAGGAGAATCAGCGCTCGGCGTCCAATTATTCCCATAAAGATGAATGAGAACGAAACGGCGCGTACTTTTCCACTCTCCTTTCTGTGTGCCGTTCCACTCTAGATCACAGTACAAGCCACCCTGCAATCGATGGACCGACGGGTGACGTTTGAAAAGGGCTGGGCCGTCCGTAAGATGCCTCAGCCCGGTATAGTACACATCTAGATGGGTGAATAGATCTATCCATCCGAGTAGATGGTACGGTGATGACGATGATAAGGTCGACATTGATGGTCGAAGATGTAGTGGAGGTGGAGGCTAGGGCGGACTGCTGGAGTATATGGCCCCTCTTGCCAGCTCGTATTTGTATGACCCTTGATCAGATGTGGTCGAGTGAGGGGCCAAACCATAGGTGGGGAACCAGCTCATGTGGACGGTAGAACCCCGACGTTTGGTGAGGGATAATGAGACGGGCAGGGTCGGTAACCACAGCTTGTTCATGCGATTGTATGAGGAGAGGCCACAGCATGTCGACGGGCGAAGATCAATGCTATGGCACAGTGAGCGATGAATGATGAAGGTCACATGAGAAACGCTACGGACCAGAGTAAGCATAGTCGATGGCGAACTACAGAGGCATTGTCGCCATCTCAAGGAGGAGTCTTGGAAGAGATGCAGTTGACCGAGGGTGCTGCGCGATCCCGGATTACATTACAGAAGAGAGCGGCGTCAATTGTGAGAGACAGCGAACGCGTATAGCGGGACGTTTTCTGTTTCTCGTGGTGGTGGTTGAGGACAAGGCTGGCCGATGATCGGAGTGGGACCCGTGGACGTCTGGACGTCAACTTCCGGCTAATCAACAGTTGCCGGCCCGATGACTGGCAAATAGATGGTGTATTCACAGTACGTATAGCATAGAGAAGACTTAAGAGACACGGCGGTATCGTATTATACATCGACTCCTTGTTCATACGATAGATCACATGAAACCGACGTCAATTCGCCGGAGGTAGATGTAGACGCCGATGTTGGAGGGTCTCGCGGTACGCACTTGCATTCCCACCGAAGATTTCTGAAAGAGCTTGGGCATCTGGACAATGCATTGAGGGATTTGTGGTGCGAGTGCGAATAACATCAAGTACGGGGGGTGATGGAGGCAGGAGGCAAGCTGTGAGAAGCTCTACGTCGTCTTCGTTGACCAGGCGCTCCGGTCCGTGATCCGGCCGCTCATAATGTTTCGTCGATTAATGAGTTCGCTGCTAACCACCACCACCCTCGTGGATCATACACACGCTGTGGCTTGTGACGAGTTTATTTGAAGACACAATACTTTCGCGCATAGCACTCGAGCCTTCTCTTCCGCGCCATGTCTCTGCTACGTACGCATGCGACCGGGCCTCACTGCTGGTGGTGAAAGCCGTACCACAGCCGAACACCGAGCGCTGAGTTCTCGCTCTTCTTCCGATAGAGCGAGCTTAACGGACATGCTTGGGGCTCGCAACGAGACTTGCATAGATGCTCGTGCGGGCAACATGAACGTCCTTCAACCCCTGTCTCAACCATCCGGCATCCGAGTCATGATTATTCCCTGGGTTCATAGTTTCGGGTGCTCTACGATTCGGGTACTGGAGTGCTCGGATGTCGACCTAGGAGTACATTCACAGCCTATAAAACCCTGGCAGCCCGTCGACTAACTCCTCATCATCCAAACAACTCTCATACTATACCAGCCACACAACTTCTACTCTCCCAATCCATCTATACCAACATGTTCTCCTCGAAGCTCAACCTCATTCTCTGCCTTTCGATCGTCGCTGTCAGCGCCACGCCTACTCCGTGAGTTGTGCGGTCTCTCTCGCTCTTCGCAAGCTGACCAGCCTACTAGGTACAAGCGCGACGCTGCAACCCCCGTCCTGGAGGCGCGGGCTCCTCAGTTCTCAGTCAACATCCCGAACAACATCCCGGTCTCTGGCGCATTCCCCAACGGAATCACCATCACGCCTCAGACTCCCTCGGGCAGCATCGTGACGGGTAACAACAACGCGACGTTGTTCGGCCAGCTCGGCTTCAAGCGCGACGAGATTGACGCGCGCCAGTTCAACTTTACGCTCCCGAACCGTCTTCCGGTGCAGGGCAACCTTCCCTTCGGCTTGACGGTCTCGCAAGGCGCGCTCAACAGCACCGTCGGTCTTCCCTCGGGCTTCCCGTTCAAGCGCGAGGACGCGACGCCCGCTCTGGCTGCTCGTGAGCCTCAGTTCTCGGTCAACATCCCGAACAACATCCCCGTCAGCGGCGCGTTCCCCAACGGCATCACCATCACGCCCGGAAGTCCCAGCGGCAGCATCGTCACGGGTAACAACAACTCGACGCTCTTCGGCCAGTTCGGCTTCAAGCGCGAGGATGGTGCCGTTGAGGCTCGCCAATTCAACTTCACTCTCCCGAACCGACTCCCCGTTCAGGGCAACCTCCCGTTCGGACTCACGGTCACACAGGGTGCTCTCAACAGCACTGTTGGTCTGCCGTCGGGATTCCCCTTCAAGCGTGACGAGGATGTGCTTGAGGCTCGCCAGTTCAACTTCACGCTTCCCAACCGCCTTCCTGTCCAGGGCAACCTTCCCTTCGGCCTCACTGTCACCCAGGGCGCGCTGAACAGCACTGTCGGCCTTCCTTCCGGCTTCCCGTTCAAGCGTGACGACGCGACTCCTGTCCTTGCTGCACGCGAGCCTCAGTTCTCTGTCAACATTCCCAACAACATTCCGGTCTCTGGCGCGTTCCCGAACGGTATCACGATCGTGCCCCAGACGCCCAGCGGTAGCATCGTGACCAGCAACCGTAACTCGACCTTCCCTTTCTTCAACTTCAAGCGCGATGATTAGAGTCACGGTTACTTCGGTCATCGATAGAATATACCCCTCCTCTGCGATGTACTGTCAGCTTTGTAAATAACCCGACAATACCCATTCCTTGCTAGATTTGCCTCCATCCTCTCGCGGACGTGTCGGTCTGCTTACCTCCAGTGACGGAGTGTTCATAATTCGAGATCTACACAGAGTGTGCCATAACTGTTGCACCTAGAAAAGCGTCTAAGAGTGCGGGGGCAAGAAACCGTGCTTGGCATTCTTGTTGCGCCTCGTCTAGCCTCCTCCTCTCGGTCGCTAATAGTTCGCGTTCCTCTTGAAGAGTATCTTCCACTTTAAGTCGCACCTCCCGTTCAGTTGCAAGCTCTTGTTGGAGCTCTCGTATGCGGATGCGCTGCAGATCGCGCTGCGTAGAGCTCTGTTGCAGCTCGGCTCTCAAGCCATCGAGTTCAGTACTGCAGTTCGGATCAGATTCGCTAGATGTTGGTACATCCGTAATCTTCCACATACCAAGCTGGCATCAGCGTACGATCCCATACGAGTGGTTCGATGACTTACAGGAGGTATAGATGATAGGGCCGCTATCGGACTCTCAGCTGTCATGGCCTTCTGAGTGATGAGCTTTGAGAACGACTGTATAGCGTCTGCGATAGATGTTGACGCGGACGATATCGCGGTCGCGGCAAGTGGCGGAGTCTGCTCTGCTAAAGAGGAAGTGATGGGCAACAGAGGGCGCGTCCTCGGGTCAACAGTGGCGTTTGGGCTACTGGGCTGGTTTCCAGCCGTGCCGAAATCACTTGCATAGCGTGCCAAAGACCCTGAAGAAGGTCCTTCCCTGGGAGTGCGTGCCGTATCCGGACTCTCGTGACGAGCGGAGGAGGGTGATTGAGCACGTATGCGTCCAGAAGGTGTGAGATCCAGACCGCTGCGGACAAGATAGCCGTTCACATTCGAGTACTTCTCTGGATCCCAAGCTTTCCACCCATCCTTCGGTCGATTTAAGACATATGGAGCGTAGCAAGACCTATCGAGCCTTGTCCTAGTTCGTGGGAGAAAGTATCTGAGGTGCCAGGGATTGAGCCTCTCGTTCGCGATAGCGGCAAGTGCTAACCAACATATATATGCTCTTGCTAATGAACGTGTGAGCATGTCGTTGGTAGATAGCTCGCGGCGAACGATGAAGCTTACATGTCCATATATTCCAGCGCGCGCGGGTCCTCCGAATAGCGTTTGTAGAACGAGTGGAACGACATCTCAGAGGGCTACCGCAAGGTCGGAAGGGTGCTCCGCGAGCTCCTCAATGAGCTCTCACCTGACCTGCATCGCAGTCTGGGAACAGGATCTCGAGCGTGAATGGGTTACCAAACGAAGATCTGGATATGCAGTCCACCCCTTTGAGTCTGGGTAGTCCCATGTCTCTAAGGTCGTCTTCCAGTTCAAGAGCGCGGATCGCTTGTTGAATGCCCTGCGCAGAGGAAAAGGACAAAGGCTTGAAGTCGTCGGCTTTTCTTCCACGGTATTGCATCGACAAGATCACATTGAACAGCTCGCCAGCTCTAGGCTTGTAAGCTTTGTGAGACTGGGTCCCTTTGCGTTGTTTGCCCATGGTGTCACAAGAGATCGTGAGAAGTGCTTATCGGCGCCGCTGGTCGTGGTGGAAGGAACGAAGGCCGGACCTCGTCGTCGGTTGGTCGTCGGAGCCCACATGCACACGCGGATCTGACACGTCGGGTCACCATGTTACGTTCGCGTTACAATGTCACTACGAGGTCCCGAGTTGTCGTTGCTTCTGCTTCAGACCGCGATCTCACTACGCCCGTAGACACATGCCACGCGAGATATGCACATACACAGGTAGAAATCAGAGATCCTGGAAGAGCTCCGCATGCTGCTAATCTTCCATCGTAACTAATGAGGCGTACTTCCCGTTCGTTCGCACATCGTACCCGTACCCTCCACTACCACCCAGCCCTTCGTAGTGGAGCTTGTCGATATCATAGTTGGCTGCACAGTATCTTAGTGACGGATATGACATGATAAAAGGAATCGCGCACCTACGAACTCCCACCCGGTCTCTTTGACGTGATACAGGTTCACCGAGTTGCCGGAGAAGGCGTCTCGATGTCCTGCCGCATAGATACCGCGGCGCCCAAGCTCGAGGGCATCCTCATCAGACATATCCCAGCTGTAGCCTTGATCAATGACGCCATACGCAAAAGTACTTCCGGAGCCGACAGAGAATACTGTCTTATTTCGACCTCAAGTTCGCTCCTTTGGAGCGTTACCCGTTACAGGCAGTAAGTTCGGCCAGAAATAGGTTGGATTCGCGTCGCCGAACGTTACCACGAACCTATTTGACCAGTATGAGCCTCGGTTCGGCCTTCCAGACTGGCCGGCCCGAACACCGGGTAACGTTCACAAGTTCGACGAGCGGCCGTTACCCGTTACCGAACCTGCAGTAGGTTCGATCCCGAAGTCCGCGTTACGCGTTACGAACTTTGGGTCGAAATAAGACAGTAGGTCTCCTTTCAAGCGTGTGCCGTCTGCGTCGACGTAGTACAACACAGGACCCGTCTTATCCCAGCCCGCGATCATCGTGCCCTATGCAGTCAACGTAAGCTTCACTGAATTCATGAATATGAGCACTAAGAAGACGCACCATGCTGAGCCCAGAGCCTTTGAAGCTATAGACGAGGTTGGCGAGGTACTTGGACGCAGCCGCGACTGAGATGCGCTGTTTCTCGCGCAGCTCGTGAAGGCGGCACTGCATGCCAAGGTAGTTCTCCCAGTACTGACAGTCCGCTGAGCAAAAGCACATGAGCACCTCAGTACAGTCTCATAGCATGACACGTACCAGCTCCGCCCGCCATCGTTCCGAGCAAGTAAGGGTTGATCTCGATGACCTTCTTCACAGTCCCGGAGCCTACGGCGCGATCAGACCTGGGTTGAAAGTGGTTGTCGTTGATATACGCACCTATATAGCTACCCATGCTAGCCCTAGAGTCGACCGCGACGACAACTCCTCCGCGGAAACGAAAGGCGAGCGTAGTCGTGCCGTGCTTGATCTTGATCTTGCAGCTGGGGTCGGCGTGGTCGTCCGTGTGCAGCCTCAAGAACGCAGCGGGCTGGTAGAGTGGATTAGCATATGCAGCGACTCCGTACGAGGTTGAAGTACTCACGTCCGCAACGTTCGGCATGTTGAACGAGAGATTAGCGGGTATAAGACCAGCGGTTGAACCCCAAGCCGCAGTACCGTCCTCTTCGCGCAAGAGCTCCTGCGCGCGGCTGATCTCGTTCACGAGTCCAGATGAGGAGAAACGATTAGCGAAACCATACATGACGGAGAGACGAGTCAGAGTGAGGCGCGCGTTTGATGTTATATATGCGGGGTCCATCGCAGGACCACATACGCGTCCTGTGTACGCGCGTCGAGTCCACCTCACCCTCCTGACTCGAAGCAGACGCCCATCATCACGCGTCCTATAGACGTTGCGCGGTACCACTAGAGCAATACATCAGGCAATAAATGGAATAGACAGTAGTGTACAATATATGCGAACTTAGATTAAGCGCTGAGGGCTGATTGGTCAATCAAAGACGTATTCGGCATCCTTGAACTTGTCGAATGGCGGGCGGAAGCGGACGGGTTCAGGCGAATCTCCCTTGTTCAGAACCTTGCGCCACTCAGGGTTGTACGGTCTGGTGCGCAACATCGTTGCAGCCATCCCTCCTACGAGTGAAGCACATCGTCAGCCTCTCAGGCCGGAGGAAGCTCAAGTAGATCTCATACCTGTGCCTAACCAAGTCTCCAGCCCATCTCCCATAAGCAGCTCCATGATCGGCAGGAACGTGCCAGGCGCAAGCTCAGCCGTCCCGCTCGACAGATTGGCCTCCATCCACGCCTCATCTACGAACGATGGCGCCTCTCCGGGGTCAAGGCCCATGATTGCCTCGATGGCTGGCGCGATCTCTGATACTTTGAACACGCCGCTGTGTGCGCAGCGGAACTTGTAGCGCAGATCGTTCGAGACAGAAGGGGTGTATTCGCAGAAGTGGACCATGATGTGCGTTCGTGAGCGGGAAGGGTCACGGTGGAGACCGAGGGCGTGTGCTTCTGCGAACATGAACCTGAAGGAGACGTATCAATCAGTCATATGTCCCGCAATAGCAAGGCATCTCGCGTACTCGGACTTCGGCGCGTTCCGCCACGCGATCCAATCTTCATGTCTCTTGGCCTTCAGTCCGGACGGGTCTTCGGCTTTGAGCTTCTCAGTGCGCATCCTGGACTTGTACATGTCGCTGCGCACATGATCAGCCAGGTACACCTATATCAGATGCAGGTCGCATACTTGCACATCTCCCTAGATAGACAATGCGATCAGCATTGAATGAAACGCTACATGTGAATCCACAGTCGGCTCACTTGTGCAGCTTCCAGTTCGCCTTCTGACACTCTTTCGAGCTATCGAATGGGGCGTTAGCCCATTCTCTATCTCTTCCGGATCGTGATGGGCCTCGCTTACCAGTAGTAGATGTGTTGGCACTTCGAACACCTGAACAGATCCTTCTGCATATCCCTGATCCCGCACTGCCTACAGATCTTCGACCGTCTCTCGTCCTCCTTCAACGGCACACGTTTCCGTGTCTCGAGTTTATCTAACCACGTTCGGCCGCCTAGAGCTTTGAAGACAGGATGAGAACGCCCAGATGAGGGCAGGAGGAAGAGCTCGAGGACGTCTTTTGTTAGAGCCGTGAGGTGCTTGCGGATGAAGTTCGTCGCCCAGTCGGTGTGCCTACAACCATTAGAGCATCAGCGAAGAGAAGATCGAAGCAACGGATACGGAGATCGCACTCTTTCTGCTTATCGGGTTCGACGCCAAGCTCTTGGAGAATGAACGCCAAGTTCATATGCGCTTTCACGATGGGCTCTGCGACGGCTGGGTTGTCGACTTGGACGTTCGTGCCCTGAAGTACGCGCTCGAAGACGGTCTTAGCTTCCTTGTACTCCCCGGTAAGGAAGAGTGCATCGCCATAGCGGGCCCAGAGAGGTCTACACACGCGAGCGTTCAGATGTTGGGTGTGAAAGCAGGTATGGGACGGGCGCACGGGTTGACCTCCCATCCTTTGCCCCGCTCGTTCTTCGTCTTCATGCGCTGTGCATCGTGCTCGATAGCCTTCTTCAAATGAGGAATCGTCTCCTCTGGCCTGTTAACCTTCGGATTCCTGTACATCATATTGAGCGACAACCATTGAGTGTCCGTCTCGGATGCGTACATGAGATGATTGCAGATCTTCATACGCGCGTTCGCGAGCTGTATGATGCCCCAATAATCAAAAAGAGCCCCCATAAAGACACACGAAGTGCGTACCAAAATGTACTTGACAGCAAAGATGGTAGCTTTGTCTTTCTGATGAGGTAGTAGATGTCCGATCGCACGAAGTTGCTCGTCCGACTCCTCTTCGATCTCGCGGATGAACATGCTTAGGGCAAAGATGACCGGCTCGAGGATGTCATCCGGTACTAGAAATATGACGATTTAGAGCATGTACTTTCAAGTTATACAGAGTTCTTACCATCTTCGGTGAGAGTGTAGTACGCGAACTTGAACAAGTTCGGCAACTGGACGTTGTACCTGATAGCCTCGCTCGTTTTCGTGGCGCCCTTCAGCCCTCCACTTGATGTGCCAGAGTTCATGAAAGCGACCTAAAAGTCTCCAGGTCCTCCATTCCTTTGCATATCCTCCACTGCAAGTCCGTCACGTTAACGCCATTCTTGATCAATAAGGGGCCCAGAGCAACGCACGCGAGACAATATCCCTATGCACAAACTCCAACGACGGCAGCTTGAACCCATCCGGCAGCTTCGCGCCCTCCAAGAACGCGCGAGGCTCAGCCATACTCTGACTGAGGATGTCCTTGCGGAGACCTAACATCTTGTCGGACATGATGGTCGAGGAACAAGAGAGAACGACGCGTCCGAGTCGCGCACGCGTCGTCGGATTGATCGTTGATAGGAGACATGTGATCGCGTCTTGTCCGGCACTTATCGAATTTGATGAGTTGATGACAAGTGACAAGTCCCCTTGTCCGCGCCACGGCCACGGACACGCTCGTTGCTTTCCACCTTCACCTTCTCGTCCACTCTCCTCCTGCACTCTAGGTCATGGCGACACGTACGGAAACGGAAACTGCATTGGCACTCGCGGGAGATGCCGAACCCTCCGCTCAGCCTGTGGCCAAGAAACAGAAGAAGTTGAAGCCTGCGCGTAAGCAGGTCGAGGCGGGACAAGTCGAGAAGAAAGAGGCAGTACAGACCGGAAAGGAGTACAGTGCGTATTTGTGATACCAATTTTTTGTATACTCTAATATTGTACTTAGATATCTGGTACAACAAATGGGCCGGCGGCGACCGCGAAGACAGCTACTCGAACAAAGTCAAATCCCAAACACGGTGCAACATCAAGAAAGACTCTGGCCTCACACGGGCCGACCTGACAGGAAACCACTACTGCTGCCTCTTCTTTGCCCGTGGCTGCTGTCCGTACGGCTGGGAATGCGAGTACCGCCATCAATTGCCAGACCCTGCGCACGCGGACCCCGAGTCGAGCAAGGACTGCTTCGCGAGGGACAAGTTCGCGGATTACAGGGACGACATGGGTGGCGTGGGAACGTTCACGAGGCAGAATAGGACGTTGTATATTGGGAGGATTAAGGAGACAGGCGTGGGAGCGGAGACGGAGGAGGTTGTGAGGCGGCATTTCAAGGAGTGGGGCCCTATCGAGAAGAGTACGTCAAAATGATATCCGGTCATCTCTATCATATACTAATATATCACTGCCATCTAGTCCGTGTGCTGCAATACCGCTCCGTTGCATTCGTCACCTATGTCCACGAATGCCACGCCCAATTCGCGAAAGAATCCATGGCTTGTCAGTCAATGGACAATGACGAAATTCTGAACGTGCGTTGGGCGACCGAGGACCCGAACCCCGAGACGAAAGTCGCCGAGAAGCGCCGGTTGGAGGAGATGGGTCAGGAGGCCGTTCGCGCACGCATGGACCCGCGCATAGTCGAAGCTGTTCGCTCCATACGAGCGTTGGAGGAGGGTGACGTCCTTGACGACGCCGGCAACTTGATAGAGGGCGGTGATGCTGGAGACGAAGGGGACGAGCGAGGGGCGAAGAGGCAAAGGATTGACGATGGTCCTTCCGAGGAAGAGCAGGAGAGGCTGATGGAGGAGTCACTTGCCGAGCTCGAGCAGTCGCAGCCAATAGGGTTGCTCAACGCAGACACGCTTCAGGGCCTGAAGTACTTCGCCCAAATTCGGCAGCAACACGCACCTTCAACACCAGTACAGCAGAAGGTTGCGACGGCGAAAGCGCCTGTACAGCCTGGACTTGGATTGATGGACTATGGCAGCGACGAGGATGACTGAACTACCTGTTTATATGTATTGCTGTACTCTTTTGCGCTCTCGATATATTTCTACATGTCCCCCGGAGCTTCGCTTTGGGTATAGAAGCAAGACAAGTCGTACATTTCGTCATTGAGTACAGATGATGGAGATACAATGCAGTGAAATAAATATGCATGCGGTATCAACTCGATGTGGATCTCACACTCTTCACCCTTCCGAGCCATTGACGGACGCAGCGCCTTCTGGCGGCTCGTCCCCGTTGATAGACATACCTTTGACGCCCTCCGTAGCCTCGTCGACGGAGCTCTCATCATCCTCATCCTCGCCGTTCTCCTTGCGGTACTTGGATAGATCCCAATCATCCCCTTCGTCGTCCGAGTCCTCGAACCACTCGGGATTGTATTGGAACTGAGCATGGCCATCAACAAACGTGACAAGTGCACGTATAAGGAAAGAACGTACCAGATCACGACCGCTCATACCAGAGCTCTTGCCCGCAGACGCCTGCTGATCCTTCGCCTTGCGCAACGCCTCCTCCTCCGCCTCCTTCTTGTCCATCCTCGTCTTCTTCCATTTAGCGAATGTCTCCGGCGTGACAGGTGTGAGATTCGATCCGAGCTTATGGCGCTGAATGAGGGTGCATCAGCAAGGCGCGCACACAAAACGTAAAGATGTACGAGGGGGTGAGCGGACGAAAAGAACGCACCTCGACCTCGAGGAACTCCTCGATGCTGATCTGGTTCGCCTTCTCGGCCTCGTCCATCGCTTTCTTTTGCGCTTTGAGTACGAAGCCGGGCGGGAGTGCGTGTCGGTACATGCAGTTCTCGCCGTTCGGGCATTGCCAGAACCAGCCGTACCTGTAGTAAGATCATGATCAGAAGACTGCACGAGACAGTGCGGTGCTAGAACGCTTACTTCTGAGACTCGATGGCTTCAATGAAGAACTTGCACACGATCTATTTGAATGCATCAGTACGTCCGTCGTGCAGAGAGAGAGGTCGCGCGTACGTCTGTGGTAGTTCGAGGGTTGCCACGCTTCGAAGTGACGACCTCACGCAGCTTCTCCTCGTCCCATTTGTCCATAGTATCTGCACGCCGCGCTCAGCACACGATAACCGAGCTAGATCCGTATAGTCATACCATTCGCCTTGTCGTCCCTGGCATCCTCGTACAGATTCTTCTTGTCCGTCTTCCTGTCCACATCCCGATTATGGCTGAACTTGCACTTGTTCCCTTTCTCGCAGTTCCCCGCCTTGTAAAAAGCGCATAACACCGTCTTGGGATCGACACCAAACGGGACCTTCTGCGTCTGCACAGGCTTGAACAGCTCGGCCTCTTCCTTCCGCCGCTTCTCCTCTTCCAACTTGGCCTTTTCCCGCAACGCCTTCTCCTTTTCCTTCTCGAGCACGTCGCGCGATTTGCCGGCCTGAGAGGCTTGGGTCTGGATACGCTGGACCTCCTTTTGCGTCTTGGCACCTTTTTTCTGTAGTGTACTGTGAGAAGCAATATAGTCGGAAGGATTCACATCACGCACGTTTTTCATGCCAAAGGTCTGCACACAAACAAACCAGATCAGGACCATCTACGCGCTCGGGATGAATATACACCACCTTGTCGACCTTGACCTTGCTCGACGAGCTCGGCGCATTTCCCTTCTTCGGCGGCATACTGGGCGCAGCAACTATGCGATCGAGATGAAAACTTTACAATTCAGGAAGTGTAGATGCCAGATGCAGAGAGAGGCCCCAGAGCCGAGACCGCGAGAGATCGAGATGAGAGTTGACAGTAGCTGTAAACGAGACGGCGTGTTCGTCGCGCGCGCGAAATTCCCATCGGGCTTGACGTCATCGGCGTTACTACATGCGAACCCTACCAACGCGCCTCGCGCTTGCCGCAACCTCGACTTCGACGAATGCAGTCATGTATCTTCCGTTTGTCGGCTTCATGACCGAGGTGGCGATGCGTCAGCCTTTCCCCTAGCCGAGAACACAGCAGAAGGAAAGGGATAAGGGAAGATCATTATTCTCGTGCCGATAGCAAGATAGTTCGAACGTAGGTTCACGAGGAAAAGAGCTACACAGAAGACAAGAGACAGGACGAGGCGAGGCGAGGCGTTCGTGATGTGATGTTGTGATATTACACGTGCAGACCAAGGCGTAAAAAGCGTGAAGAGAACCGGTGCGATGATGGTTTTACAGTAAGAAGCCAGAAGGCAAAGGTCAAAGAGCAGGCGTAAAGTCGCGTGCAGGGAGTCATTATCGTGATTGTTTTGAAGGCGATGCGGGAAGAAGCGCCGAGAGATTGAATAAAGGAAGAGTATAACTTGAAAGGACCATAGCGCACGTTCGGTGTACGGCGCTAATAGGGCTCGTACCGGCGTGAGATCGGCGCGAGTTTACGAGTCGCCGCAACGCACTTCTGCGCGACGTTCTTGACCTTCCTGATTTGCACTGAATAAGATGTTAGTACGACGCTTGAGAAAAGTAGTAGGAAGAGGAAGTGTCCTACTTTTGACAGGTTGTGGCAGTGTCATTGTCAACAATGAGCGCTTGGACGGAGACGACGAGCGGCCGCCCAAGCGACACTTGTGCATCCGTATCTCGTTGTCAGTCTCGAACATGCCACCGCACCGCCCGCATTGCTTAACGGCCGGTCCGCCTGTGTATCTATGAATGCGTATAGAGGTCAGCGCAGATCGCACGTGTGTTGTAGGACACGGAACATACGTAGAGTCGTGTTGGCGGAGATGCTCCGCTAGCGCCTCGACCGTTTCCAGTAGCGCTTCGCAGTTGACACGGCGGCAGACGTAACCGTTATGCTCACTGTAGTTGTGTGCAGACTGGACCATCTGCATGGCCTCGATACGCTGTACAACACTTGAGCGGTACATCCTTGTACAGGATGCAGTATATACGCACCCACTGATCGGCAGTCTCCGGCCGCGCGATCTTATACGGCTTAACCGGTCTCAACCGCACAGTCGAAGCGCTCGCGCCACTACTCTTCTTCGCGTGTCCATGCCCGTCACTCGAGCGCATGGGCACGTCCTCGTCATGTTGCACATTAGCCGCACGCGAGCCCGCCAGCGTACCATTCTCCCGGCCGCGGTTCACATCCGTGACCACGACCATCGGAGGTTCCTCGTACGCCACAGCAGAAGTGCACGACGCAGTCGCAGAAGTCCACTGCTCCCGCGTACGCGCCACGACCTGTTCTGCCGCCGTTAACTTGGCGCCGGGCGTAGCCTTGCGCTTCCGAGGATGTACGCTGGCGGTGGGTTCGCCGATGGCCAGCGAGATGTTCTCATCGTCGCGCTGCTGCCGTTTCTTCGCACGCATCTCGTCATAGAGATCGCCGCGCCCGGGCACGATCATCATGCCTAAGCGTCGGCGGCGGCGCGTGGCGGGCGACGTAGCCGATGTCGAAGGCCGCTGCGGCACGTTGCCGACCGCGAGGTGGCCGAGGTCGTCGGAGCCGGTGGCGGTGGCGAGGACTTCTTGGTCATGGAGCTCTTCGGTGGGTCCGTTCATGATGAAGTCTTGTTACGCAAAGCAGAATGAACCAGGTGAGATCGACTCGGGTTACTACGATTGCGTCCTGCGTGAAAGGAGCTTGAGCTTGGATGAAAGCGTGGGGTAGTGAAGGGGGCCCGCCCGAGTCAGCGCGCGAGAGTCTTTATACAGATTCACGCGTGTGGTGTGTGGCCTCAAGTCAAAAGCCCGAAACAAAGAACAAACGGCGAAGACAATGGCGATTTGATGGAGGGAGCCTTGCTTTGACCCGCGGGCTCAAGATCCGATATCGGCGAGGACGGCGTCCAAAATTACGCCAGAAATGGGCTGGAAAGCGAGAGGGTCATTGTTATTCTGACAGGCCGCGTTGGTTATATGTGAACACCCGAACACGTACACGGATCCATCAGGTGTAGCCCAGCGCGTCCAGAACGGCCCGTGGAGCAAGGCAGCCTCGCTGCTTTCGCGAGGCAGGGCAGTGAGCGTGTGCCATCAAGATACAGGCCCAGGCTCGCGTAAATCGCGCTCGGAGATCTCTGCGTTAGCAGGTCAATTGACAGAAATGACAATGGTGGCAGGGGAGAACACGGCGGGGGAAACCGGACCGTGACAAAAGGGTGAGGCCGGTGGCCAATACTTTAGCTCAGAACGTGGACGGCCAGTTCGATCAATCGCAAGAAGGCTTGCCATCCAGCTTGAACTGCCCGGTCGTCAAGACCGAACCCTGCGATAAACAGCGAGGAAGACCGTACACGTGCGTCTATTTCGACCGTAACTCAACTCGCACTGGCCGGCACCCGCTACGCCGGCACTACGCTCGCCTCGACCGGCTTCTTGGCCTTCCACTTGGGTGGCGTGGGCGGATCGAACAATCCGAGTTCCCGTTTAAGCTCGCCCATGTCCTGCTCCCACCGTTCCTCCCAGTACACGGTGATCATGCTCCGAGCCGAGCTCCCGCAGCGAACGGCCCACGGCAGATATTCGTTCAGCAGTCGCGCGCGACGTTTGGGTCCGAGGCGCCATATTGCGCCCATTGCCAGTGCGGCCATCGGTAGACCGAGATTCGTGAACTCGAACGCCTTTACTGCAATCTCGTACTCGACGGTCACAGGCATCCCGTTGATCGCATGGTAGAAGTCGTGGCTTTCGCGGTAGCGCTGCATAACATATGCGAGTTCCGGATCGTCGATGTAGTGTACCTAGCATAGCCAGTCAGAGCCAAGACATCGTTTACAAGGATATATCCTTACCGGTTCTCTCGAGTCTGGCGTGACTTCAGCCTTCTCCAGCCAGGTAACATATGTACGCCCGAGGGTATTCTCCGGTAAACGCGCCAGTGCAGCCAAATCCACAGTGTTGGAATTGATCCGCGGTCGCTCCTTCAATATCCTCCTTCCTTCCGGACTAGCAAGCATATGGTCGCGCATTCGTGGTAATACAGGACCAATAGTAGTCTCCCCCGCCGCGGCGACCATGTCTGTGGCGCGAATATCAAGAGTTGTACTGAACGAAAGATATTATTCAACGGACCCGCTCGCCTGGGGTTCAGAAGCGCCATGAGACCCGAGCCCACCGCCATAAATGCCTTTTCGGGCATACTGAGCGGGATGTGGCCGGGGTACGCGGGAGGCGGACGCGTCATGAGCCGACGCGTCTGTGGACCCGGCAGGACGCGTCTCCTGGACGCGTTGAACGCGACGCGCTCAGCACTGCGCACGCTCGTGCTCATAGAAGTCATGCTCCGAATAGTAGGATAGGTCCAGTATAATAGGAGTAGAAGCCAGGAACTGCGTAGTCCACGCCGCGCGATGAAGTTAGGAGGCAAGTGATAAGTTCGAACCTTGCGAGCGTCGAGCTCCGAGGCGGCCCGTTTCGAACTTACGATATGAGCTGCGCCATGTTCTGGGCTGCATCTAGCACTTGCTTAGAGTCTAGCTGCTTATGACAACCAAGGTCGGGCGAAGAACTTCAAGATGAGAAACTACTATGCACATTGCAGAAATCCTTTGAACATGATTCAGTATATTATGTGTTGCGTGAGAATCCGAGACAGGGTTGAGGGTCGTAACGTGTAGCGTGGGGAGCATGGAGTGCGTGTACGAGGCAGCTGATGTTTGATACTTGTATGTAGATGACTTGGAGTGTGAGGAGACTATGAGCGTTGAGTGGACATTCGTAAAGGGTTCATCATGATTCATGGACCGAGACTCTAGGCAAGACTCTGTACTCAAGCACGCTTCGGGGCCGGACCGCGAAGAATCTTCGCGACGTCGCGTACAGGTGCCGCGGGAGCAGTGCTAGATGCAGCAGGCTTCCTAGCAGCCGAGGACGCCGTGGGTGCGCCGAAGCGCGAAGGAGCACGCAGACCGGAGGTCTTCAGAGCTTGCGTGGTGGATGTGGTTGGCTTGACCGGTACCCTCGCTGGCCCCGTAGTCGACGGAGCGCGCTGAAGCTTCGAAGATGCCAGAGTTGACGATGTCACAGATGGACGGGCAGCAGGCACTCTTGCCGCAGCCGAACCCTTGAGCAATGATGCCTTCGTAGGACGCATTACGCCGGCAGAAGACGTAGGCGCCACCGAAGTCCTCGGTCTCGCGGGAGCGGCAGCTTTGTTTGCGGCTACATTCGTTTGCGCCTGCGAAGGAGCGACGAAAACCCTCGGGCGAACCGCAACCGAAGGTGCGCGTGTGGCGGGAGAAGGCGCACGCGTCTCTTGTCCTGATGGCGTGCCGGAACGGGAGGTTGCCGAGCTTCCAGGGGGAGAAACACGACTTGCAGGCGCGAGGGAGGCACGACGTGCTAATTGTGGCTTCTTGACTACTCGCAGTGCAGCCACGGAGGGCTTCGTAGTAGGAACATCGGTTGTGGCGTTGGCATCGATGGTGCTAGTAGAAGTTGTGGACTGTGCCGGTGCGGCAGCAGGCGGTACGATGTGTCCGCGTGCCAGCAGGCGAGCATGTCCCTCCGGAACGGCAGGGGCGAGGCGTGTCTGAACCGGTCCTGTGTAGTGCTTGCTAACATGAGGCGCCTTCGGTGCTGAGACGGATATCAGAAGAGTGTCAAAGCGGAGAGTGAACCGATATTCGCGTACCCGAGCTAACTGTCTGGGGCTTCGGTGTGGCGAGCGCTGCCAAGTTCGCCCTAGAAGCTGCATTCTCGTTCTCTCCCTCGTCCTCGCTATCCTCATCCAGCCGTACGTCCGCGAGACGTTCTGACAACGATCCGCGCAGGTCGGCCTCGCTCGCACTGTCGCTTTCATCGGCGAGTCCACCGCGATCGCTCTCGTCCTCGGTGGTAGGCGGTTCTTCATTGTTCGCCGCAAATGACGGTACATGAAGATCTACGTCAAAGTCCTCATTGCTGAGCATTGAGTCGCAACCGACGAATGAAATGCGATCATTGAGTATGTCAAATGAAGTGTCGCGCAGGTTCATCGACATGTTGAATGAGGTGTGTAGGTCGAGTGACGGCCGGCGGGTAAGGCCCGGAGAAGAGTGTGATTGCTGTGCAGGAGATAGTGTCGACACGCCAACGTCAGGAGGCGAGACGTTGATAGAAGGTGGGGTCGCCGGAGGCTCCGGGGACGATGGTAGGGAGGCTGCGTCCGATCGATAATTGACCGTAGCCATGGAAGCTGCCTGGCTGGGAGATGAAGCACCAAAGACAGGGGCGGGTATCGCTCGGAATCCCAACGGAGTGGCGTCGAGCAAACCAGTAGGAGTGGTTGCAGCCTGGTCGAGCCGGATATCGCCAAGGACCCGGCGGCGAGGCGTAACGGCGACAGGCGACTGCTGCACGCCAGCATTCTCTCCATCCTCTTCCTCATCAAAATATTTCCCATCATCTCCTTCGGTGCTAGCGTCCATAGAGTCGTCAGACATCATGGAGACATCGTAGTCTATGAGTGCGCCCTTGGGCAAGGGTTTCGGTGGAGCCTTTTGTTTCGAATATGTCCGGTCGAAGAATTTGGTCATAGTGAGTGCGCCACTCTTAGAGCCCCTCGAAGTCATCGGAGATGCGTTTTCCTTGTCGGACGAGCTGAGCTCCCCGGACTCCCGCGGCGCAGAGGGTGAGGAGCCGGACGGCGTTGTCATGCCGACCAGTGGGTCGAACATGTCCAGAAGGCTCTCTCGAGGGCGAGCCATAGCCAGCAGTATTTAGATGTATAAGAGAGATACGATCGAGCAGCAGGAAGTCGTGCACAGCGACGTCGTGGTTCAAGGCGAACTCGAACCGCAGAGCCTCGAGGCATCGTGGCATCAATCAACCGTGACGTAACACAGTGACCGGACGCGTCAAACCGCAATCCTTTCGGCTCCTTTCGGTTCTTGTGTTTCGCCTGTTACCTCGACGGACTGATTCTTCAAGCTTCAAGGTCGTTGTGCGCCATCCGGGAAGGCATGGGCTTGCGCGCAACCCGCTTCGCATATCAGCCAAAGCCTGGAGCAACATTTAATGTCATGTTGTCTATCCAATATCGGGGATCCAAGGGCGACGACTTCAAGGGCCTCTCATTCTCGAGTAATGCAGAGGTGCAGCGGTCAATTAGGGTTCTGAGGCTCGAAAGAGATCTCGAAGACCTGCGACTACCCAAGTTGGACGGTTTGGACTGCGTATTCAGGTCCTCCCTCGGCTATCCCCTTACCCTCGAGGTCCTCTATTCTGACTGCAAAGAAGGCCAGGTAATCATTATGTTTTGAAGTTTCTAGCCTGACCAAAGGATATTGACCACGTCTGTTCTCAGCCTTCTGAGAATGTCTTTCATGCATTCTACGACCACATGAGCGAGGACCCCCGCATCTTAGAGGACATGAAAATGTGCGTACGTCACGATTTACACAACCGTACCTACGGTTACTCATGAGCATGCGCACGCAAGAAAGAGTGTCTACGTGTACGTGTTCCTTCTTCATGCTAGCAAGTATTTAGCTCAACTCACATGTCCTTCACAGATATTTTCTCCCGCCGAGAACTTCAAAGCTCGATAAACTCACGGCACCTACCTACGTTCTGGACCGACCCACCAGCGGTTGGCGATTCTGGTTTCCCGACAAGACTACTCCCCGAAGAGTAAACCGCGCGCTTACACCACAGGCCCCTCGACGCGACTGGTCGCCGGCATCCTCACAGCGAGACAGTCCACTCGCCCGTAGTACGAACACTGACGATAGGTTCTCTCCGCACCCGCCAGCGCACAACGCGAGCGTCGCGGGGCCGAGTCGAGCGCGGGCAACAAATGCCGATGAAGCCCCTCTTTCGAAGATGCGCTCACCATCGCCATCAGCGTCTACCTCGGCAGCGGTGCATCGAGCGCCCGCTGCGCCCACGGGTCTATTAGATCCAGCGTCTATCTCTGCGGCCATACAATCCCTGTCGAAGATCATCCCACCGGTCCCGGAGCAATCAGTAGCCCAAGCGTCATCATCGACACCACCTGTACCGGTCAGTCATCTGGCCTCTCTGTCTCGATCAGGCAACGGCTGACATATGCTCGCGAAGACGGAGGTGACAGACGTACAAGCAACACCTGACACGCCGAAGCCCGATCCACACGCGGTTAACCTCGGACATATGGTTGAGCTCGAGAACTTACGAGCTCAGTTGCAGCAGAGCTCGACTCAACGTGAATTACAGCGCAAACGCATACGCGAGCTCCAACAAGAGCTCTCCACGGAACGACAAGCACGGCTGGAAGCTGAGAAACGATTAGAGGAGGAACGGACCCTGCTAGAACGAAAGCGAAGAAAAGTAGAAGACATGCGCCGAGAACGCTCGGCGCCGTTCCTAGCTCCTGCACTCGTAGATGCGTTCTTGAAAACTCATTCAATAGCACGAGATATATGACTTCCTGCGAAAAGACCATCCGAAAGACCGCGTCCGTGGCGAGTGAAGGAAGCAATCAAGAAATCATGAGATGTTATAGCATGGATATCATTGACAATTTTAAACAGAGCACTGTACAGAAGACGGGTATATTGTATCGATAACCGAGAATCTAATCATCGCGCTTGAAGTTGAAGAAAGGGAAGGTCGAGTTGCGGTTGCTGGTCACGATGCTGCCGCTGGGCGTCTGGGGCACGATCGTGATACCGTTCGGGAACGCGCCAGAGACCGGGATGTTGTTCGGGATGTTGACGGAGAACTGAGGCTCGCGCGCAGCGAGGACGGGAGTCGCATCGTCACGCTTGAACGGGAAGCCCGAAGGAAGGCCGACGGTGCTGTTCAGCGCGCCCTGGGTGACCGTGAGACCGAACGGAAGGTTGCCCTGGACAGGAAGGCGGTTGGGAAGCGTGAAGTTGAACTGGCGAGCCTCAAGCACATCCTCGTCACGCCTAAAGGGGAAGCCCGACGGCAGACCGACAGTGCTGTTGAGAGCACCCTGGGTGACAGTGAGACCGAACGGCAGGTTGCCCTGAACGGGGAGTCGGTTCGGGAGAGTGAAGTTGAACTGGCGGGCCTCGACGACGCCATCCTCGCGCTTGAAGCCGAACTGGCCGAATAGCGTCGAGTTGTTGTTACCCGTCACGATGCTTCCGCTGGGGGTTCCGGGCGTGATGGTGATTCCATTGGGGAATGCGCCAGAGACGGGGATGTTGTTCGGGATGTTGACTGAGAACTGAGGCTCACGAGCAGCCAGAACGGGCGTCGCGTCCTCGCGCTTGAACGGGAAGCCCGAGGGAAGACCGACGGTGCTATTGAGCGCGCCCTGAGTGACCGTGAGACCGAACGGAAGGTTTCCCTGCACCGGAAGACGGTTCGGGAGCGTAAAGTTGAACTGGCGCGCTTCGATCTCGTCGCGCTTGAAGCCGAACTGGCCGAACAGCGTCGAGTTGTTGTTGCCGGTCACGATACTGCCCGAGGGGGTCTGGGGCGTGATAGTGATTCCATTGGGGAATGCGCCAGAGACGGGGATGTTGTTCGGGATGTTAACTGAGAACTGAGGAGCCCGCGCCTCCAGGACGGGGGTTGCAGCGTCGCGCTTGTACCTAGTAGGTTGATTAGCTTGTGAAGAGCGAGAGAGATCGGACAACTTACGGAGTAGGCGTGGCGCTGACAGCGACGATGGAAAGGCAGAGAATGAGGTTGAGCTTCGAGGAGAACATGTTGTTATAGATGGATTGGGAGAGTAGAAGTTGTGTGGCTGGTATAGTATGAGAGTTGTTTGGATGATGAGGAGTTAGTCGACGGGCTGCCAGTGTTTTATAGGCTGTGAATGTACTCCTAGGTCGACATCCGAGCACTCCGTTACCCGAATCGTAGAGCATCCGAAACCGTTAAATAGGAAATAATGATTCGGACGGCGGATGATTGAGACAGGGGTTGGAGGACGTTCATGTTGCCCGCGCGGACGTCCTCTCGCGAGCCGCAAGTATGAGGTCAGACCGCTATATCGTAGTAAAAGCGTGAAGACTCGGCGCTCAGGCTTAAACTGGCGCGAGCCAGTGGGGGGTATACCGTTGACCAGTCGACGCCGCACGCGAACGGTTGACGCCGCGGCCGGAGCGATGCAGTGTGCATTGGTGGCCGCTGCGCCAGGAAACTAATCAAACAACCCGTAAGCCCTGCAATACGCCGAGTACCAGGCGATCAGTATCGACAAGGCCATCGGCAGCATATGCTGGGGGGTCCTCACGAGTGGAAGACTCCCGCCATTGACAAGGCTCGAGTGACAACTCGCGGTGTCTAGTTGATCTGCGCCGGGAGAGTCGGCCTGCTTGCATCCGTAGTGGGCGATGTGAGATAGATCGTGGCACAAGTGGCATTCAAACTTGCTCTGTTATCTCTGATACCTCCATGACGGTGGTGGTATCTTCGCAAGCGCGCCTCCGTACGCCGTGTTCGACGCGTCTTGAATTCGGTCCGATCTCCGAGTTCGTTTGCGCACTCATTGTGCGTACATACATCCCTTTCCTCAGGCTTGCGACTGATTGGTGATTATTAACTTCGTTGTCTCAAAGACTGACGCGTACCAAGTAACCTCGCGAACACGTTCGACAGCTGTACTATGAATTGAAGTTAAATAACATAGCAAGAGGCACACGGGGTCCAAGTTGATAACAGACAAAACGGTACAAGATATACATGTGCATTGGTAACTATAGCGTTGTAACCTTGACCAAACGGTGAAGTGTCCCCCAAACATCACATCCTGCTAGGTTTTTTGACATTTTCACCTCACGTATCGGGGTTCCTCCCGCCCTTCTCAACTCTATGGCCTCGACCATGCCAAGCACCAGTGGCGGGATCGTGGTTCGGATGGGCGCACTTGCCAAGTCATCCGGAGACTCAAAAGAGCTAGTCACGGTAATGGTATCCAGCTTCGGGAAGAGACCCGACCCGGGCTGGCACAATGCGGTCCAAAGCTCGGCGCTTTGGAGAAAGCGGACGACGAGGTTTTCAACGCTTTGTGCTTGCGAAAAGCATTCGATCCAAGGGTTCGTGCCGGTCGATTCTGCCCGTGACTGCATGATTCGTAGAAGAATTGCGCTGTCCATATCTAGCGAGGCTATGCGCGTGGACGGAAACGCGCGTAATATCTCATACGTCGCGGGGTCTTCTGTGTCGAGATAGAGCATGCGCTTGAAGTCGGAGGTGTCATCCGCACAATCAACAGGCCGTACAGTGTATTTGCTGCCAAAAGCATAGAGCTCGAGAGGTAAAGGATAGGATTGTGGACAGAAATCCATGGCTTGCAGCAATCTATGACACAAAGGAAGTGTCGGAAGGTCATCCTCGGTGATGTTCTCGTATGACCAGACTTCAATAGCAGCTGTGGGCGGTACAGCGAGATGCTCCAGAAATCCCACGAGCAGGGGGAGATAATCGATGTAGTTCTCCTCCAAGGTTAAGCTCTTGAACGTGTCTGGAAGGCTCACGTAAGGCAAAGAGACATCCGCATTATGATGATGATTGACTCGTCGAGAAACGTTGGAAAGCTGAAGGGTTTCGAGTGAAGACATGGACGAGATAGCCAGCAGTAATAGCTCGTTTGTGAGATAAGTGTCATCAATGTCGACGGCTTCATAATTCAGATGAAGAAACACCAATGTCGGAGCAAGTAGGTGAGTATCTGGTGGTAGCACGCAGCCGACGATGTTTAGTTTGCGGAGCAAGGAGGGATGATTATCCGAGTTCAACATGTTGCGAGGGAGAACCTGCGCCAGGCGGGTATGTATTTCCAACGCCCGGATTCCGGGAGCCTCCTGCACGATGGCTTGTGTTTCGATGGGAGAGAGGGATGTGCAGATGAATTCCAAAGCCTCGAGGCGACGGAAGACCGGCGCACTGAGCCAGGTGCGTGAGGCGAGCACCACATGTAGATCATCTTCATGGAAGCGCTCGTCCTGGAATGATACCAGACGCAAGGGTCCTCGAGCTGAGCGGGCCAGGATGTCGTAGGAGTAATCCGGATGAATATCCATGATTGCAATAGTTTGCCAGAGTCCGGGTAGAGACACCGCAGTCTTCAAATAATCGACTTTAGTACCCGCAACTGGCTAATATCGATACAATTTGCTCACTGATCTCCAAAAAGAGCATACATGGGTAAGGGACATCCAACCAGCTTCGTATTCCTTAGCTGCCGACCCTGTTCTACACGGTCTCCATATATCGCGTGCAAAGAAGAGTATCTCGCCAACAATCTCCGCAGGTAGTTTACAAGCACCAGTATGGCTATTTCTCTTTTGTTTTGCCAGGGCTTCGTACTTGCGAATCAACGATAACTCTTCATCGAGGTCCTGAATTGACGCGCGCTCATTATCGAATCGATGTTGCACAAAGGCGAGCCAAGCAGCCCTACGTGTCAGCTGGTGAGCGGCTTTCCAACATCTGAGTATGGACAACGTACTCTGCCGACGACGTTTGCAAGTTGTCCGCGGCGCGTGACATGATCGCCAAGGGGTGCGTATGTTGTTATACAGTGATGAGAGCCTAGCAGTTGACAAAAGTCGCCGTGGACACCGGTCGTAGCTGGAGCTCGCGTAAGACAAGCAGTTTCTTGCAGGTAGCGTAGGCAGTGAGAATCAACGTCGTGGCGGTTGGTCCCCAAGACGCGAGGGCCATTCCGACATGCGCGCACAGGGTTCGGAGCTCGGCCCGATCCTTTCTCGCAGCCGCTCACAATTAGTCGCGTGAATTCCGCGCACACTTGGAGCGGACCGGGCGCACGGCACCTCGGATCTTTCCGAAGCCCTCGTCCTGGTCATTTCGGACTCCCAACCACATCCCCTACATGTTGTTGTAGACCTGTAGGCCTTCGCAGATTCGATCTTTCCTATCGAGCTTATGATATGCGCCATATTAATGGCTCTTGATAAGCACAATGATAGTCTCTGTGGTCTCTGTGGAGAGAATCTGTAGATTCAAAGAATGTAGTTTATTCTATATCGAGAAGTACTGAATTTTGCTCTAGCAAGGAAGGACTCTACAACAGAGTGAAACTAATCATGGGAGAGCTTAAATAGAGGGGCTGAATGGCATGTTGAAGGAGGGGGAGCAAGAAATGGGAGGCTGGCAATCAGGGTGTGGTGGGAAGGTGGCCAAGCAAGAGGAGCTGGTATGTACTCTGTGACAGATTACTGCACAATCAAAATGCCTGTAGGAAGAATATTAGTATCTGGTGGGACTGCAAAGCCGGTGACCAATCACCTCATCGAGAGCACCGCTGAGAGCTTGCATCCACCGAACCTCTGTAAGTACTTCCTAGTCGCCCAACAGCATGTCTTGCATTCTGACACCATAGATCATGTTGTAGAGGTACGAGGAGGAAGAGGGAGGGCGGGGTGTACATGGGCATAGGAGTGGTGGTCGAGAGCAAGACCGACGGCGGAACCTCACACCCGCGCAGGCACGCGCCGAGCTGTTGGAACGTTGATGGCATCAAAGTCACGTGCGCGAGTGCGCGCGGAATTTCAAGGCTGCTCACAATTCGCTGCGCTCTCAGTCTGTCTCATCCTCCCGAGGAGGCTGAGGTTGCCATAGTCTCATGCGTATGTCGCTTATAAATATAGGTAGTGCATCAGCGCTTATAACGTCCAGCACATGAAATACTATCGTGAACAAGACAGTACGCAGGATACATCATATGCATATGGCATTGGCAGGCGCTAGCACTACAGCGTCGTAACCTTGACCAGACTACGAAGTGGCCCCCAAACATCCCAACCCGACATGCTCTCCGGCATCTTCACCTCGCGTATCGGGGTTTCGGCCGTTCTTCTCAGCTCTACAGCTTTAATCATATCAAGCGCGATAGGCCGGAGCGTCGATTTCGAGAGCTCGTCAGACAAGTCCCGAAGAGTAGTGGGTTCAAGAACGATGATGGTTTCCAACTTCGGGAAGAGGTTCGATCCCGGTTGATACAACGCGGGCCACAGCTTATCACTTCGGGAAAAGCAAGTGGTGAGGCTTTCGACGCTCAGCGCTGATGAGAAGCTCTCTGTCCAAGGATTTTCGCCTGCGACCTGATGCATGGTTCCCAGCAGGGCAGGGTCCTCTAGGAGGAGCGAGACTACGTGCGTGTACGAGAATGTCGGCAACAGAGAGTACATCACGTCGTTCGATTCGGCAATGCTCAATATCTGGCTGAAACCGGTCAGACTACTCCCTGCGCCTACGGGCCTGAGATGATATTCGGGTTCTATGATTGAGAGCTCCAATGGGGAGGAATAGTGCGCCCGATAGCGCTTCATCACTTCCACCAATCGATGGCATTGCATGAGCGTTTGCACGTCGACGTCCTCGACGTACATTAAGACGTATAGTGCAGTTGTGGGCGGCACAGATAGATGCTCCATCAGCTCAGCCAGTGGCACGAGAAAAGCGGTATCGGATACTTCTATGTTCAGGCTGTTAAACACATCGGGAAGATTGACGTGGGACAAAGGAGTATCTGCGTCGTGACCGTTGGCTGGTCGCGGAACGTCGTGCAGTTGAATGGATTCCAGAGCGGTCATGATGGATATAGCCTGAAGCATGTGTGCGGTCGTGATATGGTGGTCTTTCAACGCAATTCTGCCGTAGCCGAGATCGAGATGGACTAGATTGGATGCAAGCAAGCGAGTATCTGGCGGTAGGGCGCAGCCGACAATCCTGAGCTCGCGGAGTTGGCAAGGATCCGTATCCGAATTCAATAGGTTAGGCGGGAGGACGCAATATCTTCGGGAAGATATGTCCAGAACTCGCATGGCAGGTGTTGGCTGTGTTAGAGCCTGGATTGCAAACGATGATATCTTCCCACAACGGAGCTCCAGCTCCTCAACACGGTGCAACACCGAAGCGTTCAGCCAGATGCGTTCAGCGAGCATCACATGTGCGTCCGTATCGACGAAGCGCAAGTCCGCTCGGGATGAAAGACGCAGGGGTCGGCGCGCCGAGCGAGTCAAGATATCGTTGGAATAGTTTGGATGAACGTCCAATATGTTCACATTTTGCCACAGTGCAGGTAATGCTATAGCGACCTGCGTTAACTGCATTCAATACATGCAGGAATGTCATCCCAAAATGCTGGGTCGCTCACCTTTCTCCAAAACGAGCACACATGCGTGAGAGACATCCACCCAGCTCCATACGGCTTTTCAACTGCCCTCTCGATTCTGCGCGGTGGCCATAGTGCATGCGCAAAAGACAATATCTCGCCAACAATCTCCGGCGGGAGCTTACAAGCGCCAACACGAGCGTTCCTCTTCTGCTTGGCCAGTATTTCATACTCGTGAATTGATGCTAATTTCCGGTCGAGGTCCTCAATTGCCACGCAATCGTCGTCGAATAGATGTTGCACCAAGGGCAGCCACGCAGCACTATATGCAGACAATGAGACGGTACGTATAGCCACATCCCATCACTTCAAACCTACTCTGTTGATGACATTTGTGAATTGCCGGCAGCGTGCGCCATAGTAGGCAGTGGACGAGGTCAAGCGATTTCCAGTTGTTCGCCTATCGATGACGGCGTCCAGTAATCTGGAAGCAGATATCGTTCGAGCAAGTGGCGTGGCCAATGCCAGGCAGAACCGCGTCCTATGATGGTGGTCGATGCTCAAGGCATATACACGCCGCGACTGACAACATCAACGTGAACGGAGCTCGGCCCGATTCTGCTACTTTCACGTCTTCGACCAGTACTATTATATATGGTAAACGGAAACAAGTTCCACATCAGCGAAAGACCATTACAGGAAATTAATTGGCAAGCGCTCAAAATCGGCTCACTATACCACCCACATGTGTACCTGCTTGTGCGCCTGCCGCTACACGAGTTTGCACTTCATATGTGAGGCAGGTTTTCGACCACAACCGTAAGACAACTCAGATCAGTCGACACAATCGGCCTCATAACCGTACTGCATGGTTCAGCATGGGGGCATAGCAAGTACAATGGACACAACATGGGCATGATGAAGAAGTATACAGGATCCACAGCCAGATCAGGGAGCGAAGAGGGTCGTAAGGAACTCCTTCGACGCCGACTTGCCCTTCGCCTTCTTGCCGGACTTGGCCTTGGCCTGGAGCTCTGCAGACGCATGTCAATCTCAGAGCGAAAGTAAGACCGACAGAACTGCTCACCCTTCTCCTTCTGAAGAGCCGTCTTGGCGTACGGGTTCAGGCGGAAGAGAACGCCCTTGTTGCGGAGGGGGTTCTTGTGCTGCGTCCAGGGACGCTTTTGGACCTTGGGGCCAGCGGGACGAACGACCGACTGGATCTCCGTCGAGTTGATCAAGCGGGTGACGTCCGGGTTGGCGATCTTGGCCGTGGGGAGGACGTAGTCCTTCTTGTAAACGGCGGCCTTGTCGAAGGTGCCGAAGACCTCGTCAAGGAGACCGAAAGCGCTCTCGGTCCAGATGACGAAGCGGCCGACGTGGCCACCAGGAGCGAGCTGGAGGACGTTCAGGCGGCGGACGTTGACGACCTCGACACCGGGGAGGTTGCGGAATGCCTTGACGATGCCGTTGTCCTCAGAGTAGACGACGAGCGGGCCGCGGCGCTGGCGGTGACGGCGGTTGCGGAGCTTGCCCTTTCCGGCGCGAAGCTTGCGGGAGTTGGAGACCTTGGTGACGTCGCGGTAGGCGGCGAGCGACTTGAGGAGGGCGACTGCCTCTTTGGTCTTCTTGAACGACTCGGCCTCGGCCGAAACGACAAGCGGGACCTCCTCGATCTCCTCGATCCTGTGGCCACGTGCGAGGACGAGCGAAGGGAGAGCAGACGCCGCAAGCGCCGAGACGGTCGCGAAGCGGCGCTGGTTCTGGTTGATCTTCACGTGCCACTTGCGCCACGTCTTCGTCGGCGCGAACATGCGACCGCCGCGGCACATGTTCCCGAACGCGGCCTGCACATTGTCGTCAACATTTTGCTCAATTTATTCTGACCCGTCCATTTTCCATTTCCTCCCTCTATTTGTTCACCCCTCCAGCAAAGAGATATACACACCTGACCGGAGCGGTGGGTACCTCCACCACCAACACGGGGAATACGGGCGACAGCGCGACCGGTACCCCAGGACTCGGCCGAAGTCTGGTGGCCGGCCTTCTCGCTCACAGCGTATGCCTGGCGCTTGTTCTTCGCCATGCTCTCTACATTTCACGATCAATATTTCGATATGTTCTGCGAGCAAATCTACGCACTGTGAACCTGCTGCACGACATCAAGACGGATGGGGGCCGTGAGAACGGCTGGGAGGGGGAGCGAGGTCGAGGCCTCGCCCGCGGTCGAGCGGACGTTCACGGTCGGGCGGCTGGCCATCGTCTTGCGCGGTCTTGAGGATAGTCTTGACGTTGAGCACCGCGGCGACCAAGCTTAGATTTCCCCGTCGGTCTGCAAAGCGTGAGAAACGGACTTTGCCGACGCGTCTTCGCGTCACTTCTGGGTTAGGGTTTGATAGTTTTCTTGCCGGATCGCGCTCACGTGTGTTCTTCCGGCGCGCGGTCTTTCTTCTCTTCTGCTCTTCTCCCGTTGCGAAGATCGAGTAGACGCCTGTTCAGGGCGGATGTGCAGCACACAAACCACGCGAAGACTAGGTCATGCTGACGTCTCCGGTTGGCTATGAAGATCACGCGGTAAATGTCGTGTCGATCGTACCCCAGCAAACCCGCCCGAGTCTCCAGTTCGACAGAATATCTGGTCAAGCGACCAAAAGAACATCCACCGAGAACTGAGTACAGATCAGAGAGTGTTACGTTCCTGACTATACCTGTGCTGCAGTTCTCCACCTTACCCGCGATCTTACGCCGGCGTCGCTGCGTGAACCGAGTAAGACGGACCTGCAGACGCAGTACGTGTACGGGGTCAAGGGTGCGTTTGAACGGTGAACTGTAAAACCGTCTTGCAAAGGTCTCTCATGCGGCGGGTAACAATCTATTGACGCTGAGTAAATGAATCGCCGTGCTTCGGGCCTCAATTCGGAGCCGCGGCGTACAGGTGTTTAGCGCCTTCCGGTCATTGTGTTATGAAACGCGAGTGACGCCACAAACCCTACGCGCATACCGATAGGTAGCCGAGAACTAACATGTGCTGTAGATGTATCTCACCTGACTAGCCTTGTGGCCTGAGTGATCATGCAATCATGGATCTCCATTGACATACAGCAACTTTAGCCTCAAACAAGCCTCTCGGCAACTTGAGCTTGTATACTCAGCGCTTCAGTCCTCTGAAGATCCCGAGCCATACACAACGTGATTGATGATAGGTATCCATTGAGACGATAGTGAGAATGGTATGTACGACGATATACAGATTACAAGAAGCTCTATGTGGTGGGAGTAGACGGGTGTGCTAGTACTGTATCCGAGAGAGAAGTACGAGGCGCCGAGGCCGGAGATAAGTTACGAGTTTCGTGAGTGCATTCCATAACAGGTCATGGCGAACCCAATAACGGTTCCCTCTCCGTCCCCTTAGCGGGCTTCCCTCTCCCACCGAAACACGCGCTGCTCGCAGCACTTTTCAAAGCCCTCCCGAGGATCGCCAAGCCGCGCCACAACACGAATGGCCTACAGTCGATCCGTTCCGCGCGTACTCGATGCTGGCCGTCGACGCAGATAGCGAGTGTGCAGACGATGGAGATGATAGTGGCCAGCGCGCTCGACGCGGAGAGCATGAACATGATGATCATCTGTAGGCGCGCGGCCTGGACGACCGAAGAGCCGCCCAGGATGGCTCCCGTCATCATTCCGGGAATAGAGATGATACCCAAGACGCTGTAGAAGATTCGCGGGCGTCAGTACGAGGGTCCAGGTGAGAGCGAAAGCCGTCGGGAAGTGACGGCCGAAAGATCAACGCACCTCATTTGGTTGATCGTCGGCGTCAATGCGAGTCTCAACGCCGACTTCGCGATAGGTTTACAAGCCTCGAACCTCGACGCGCCAAAGGCGAGATACGTCTCGGTCTTATCTCTATTCTCACTGCAGACATCTATGAGCGCTATGCAGAAGCCATGACGCGACAGAAGGACACACTTTAGCTCTTGGAGCACGAACGAGAGCGAGACCACGAGATTAGAGATGGTGCTTCCACAAAGCATTCCGACGATGGGGACTGTATGACGGTGAAGATTGCATGAGATCCGCGGTTCGGTCACAGGTGTGAAAAGAAGCGGCATGTTCGGAAGACTGACTGTACTGTTCCGGTTTCCAGAAGGGGTTGACGCTCATCGCAAAGCGAATTCCGATGATGGAGATGGGTATTGTCGAGAGCGCCATGGAGGCTAGGACGACAAAGAACTACATTGTATGTGGTGAGTGAGAGCGTTGAGGGGAGTATAGGAGTGAACGCACCATTTTGGGGTATCGCATCTTGCATTTGTTCGCCACTGGTCCAAGTCAGTCACGCGAACCATGACAGTTGCGTAAGGGCTCACCAATCTCGAACGCGGCGAGTATATTGAGCAATACTGTAGACAAAGTCAGCATACGGTGCAAGAACGGTTGGATAGAGTCCGGAGAGACTAGTGGAGCCTAGAATGGTCTGCCGACGCGACGCGCATCCCGAGTGGCACCTTGTATCACGACGTCATGAACAGTGCTCGGCGTACTCACAAGCTATACCAGCGACCGCGGCGGGGTGGTTGGTGTTGAATATGCGCTCGAGAACGTATGAGACGAGCGTGAGCTGTATCACACAGCGCGCGGCGGCAGTGATAAGCGACGATCCTACGCCGAGCTGCAGGCCGTATGATAGCGCGGCGTTGAACGCGACAAAAGAGAGAGCGAGCGCGACATTCTGCCACTGCAGGTCGGGGGTACCGCCGTGCCCGCTTGGGGAGTTATCCATGATAGAGTATGTCGTGAAGAGGCGTAAGGCGTAGCGGTGGGCGTTAGGGGCAGGTGCGGGGGTTGGAGTGGCAGCTGTGGCCGCGGCCTTCACGGAGCTTTATTCTGATTGATTATTTGTTCGAATCCTTCCCAACCAATCGTGGGCAGAGGATTGTGTCCATCCGTCGAACGAGGCGTACCACGTTCCGCCCTGTTACGTCTGTTTACCCTCGCCCTATCGCTTTAGAAGTCTAGGATACCGGTAAACAAGGACCGAACGGAGTGAGCGTTTGGAGTAACGGTGTGTGAGAAGGAACGAGCGCACTCGAGATCAGGCCGTTCTGTTGATGACGTACAAACGCGCCGTATAGACGCCCATAACGTTTGACATCTGACTTTGGTTCATGCGTCCATCTGCATGCCTCTTGCGAGCCATGTCTTCTCCCATCGCTCGACCCTCGGCTGCTCGCACTCAAGACCTCGTCGACAACCTCGCGGAGATCCGGGACCGCGTCCGACAGGCGGCCGGCGACAGGCTCGGGAAAGAGCCCACGCTCGTAGCCGTGTCAAAGTACAAGCCGCCGGCGGATTTACTCGCTTGCTACGATGTCGGTCAGCGCGACTTCGGCGAGAACTACGTGCAGGAGCTCGTGGACAAGGCGGAAGCTGTACGCGACTGCTGCCGCTCGCTAACTTGAGCGATACAACCGTACTTACTGCTTACCTTCGCATCTCTCGTGCCGTCGATCCTTTCGCCCCCTCGGCCCTACCAGTTGCCTAAAGACATCCGCTGGCACTTCATCGGCACGCTTCAATCAAACAAAGCCAAAATCCTCGCATGTACGTCTCATCTTATCTCCTGCTATCTGATAAACCCAGATCCTAATCTGTATACTTGACTCGTCATCCCAGCGATCCCGAACATAGCAGCCGTGCAAACCGTAACGTCGGCCAAAGCCGCGACCGGGCTGAACAAATCTCTCCCCGCCGACCGCACCGATCAACTGTCTATTCTCCTTCAGGTTAACACCTCTGGAGAAGAGGCCAAGTCCGGACTTCCTCCCTCGGGTCAGGAAGAGTCTGAGCTGGCCGTCCTCGCACGACATGTTCTCGACACTTGTCCGAGGCTGCGCCTGGAAGGCTTAATGACGATCGGCTCCCTCGACATGAGCGTGGGCGCGGGGGACGAGAACCAAGACTTCAAAACTCTAATCCGAGTCCGCGAGGAGTTGCAGGAGGTTCTTCGAGGAAAATATGGGATTGAGCAGTGGGGCGACGGATCTGGTACCTTACGCGTCAGCATGGGCATGTCGAGCGACTTCGAGGCCGCGTTGCGGGCTGGAAGCGACATTGTGCGCGTAGGCACGGGTATCTTTGGCGAGAGGCACAAGAAGGGCGAAGCTCCTCCGCCCTGAGAGATTCACTATTACAGTTGTTTCGATTGAATGTCTGTAGGATCTAATAACATCGTTGTTGACAAGAGCGTGGACCCTCTTAGACCCGGCAAACCCTGCGTCAACATGTCTGCCCTCCAGTCCGAAGATAGGAAGTCGGATACAGCGTTACCCGAATGGTGCCTCCCACGGCGCACTCTCTACATGGACGATTGTACGACCGCGGCGACTCTTCTGTAGCTGCTCGTCTCTGCTATCACCGGTGATTCGGGCGACGGCCGATCCTTTTCAACGTGACCCGCATTCGGCAGAGGCTTCTCCGAGAAGAAGGCTGAAATCCTTTT